GTGTCCTCATTGATAATACATTTGCCCTTCCTCTCTACCTACCATATACATTTGGTTGTTGTGTAGTTCTAGGTGTAATGGAATGATAAACTGTATAATAGTGTTCAGCCACAAGGTGGCAATGTGTGTAACATACCTTAAGCCAGTGGTCCCCAACTTCTCAGGGTGCCCCCCTTATCCACGTTCCCCACCTCCCCTGCCACCATGGAGCTGGGACTGGGAGCAGAGCCCCAGCTGGGGGCCGAGGCTGGAGGTGGGAGTGGAGCTGCAGCCGGGCCGCAGTGTGCGGGGAGGCGAAGCTGAGGGCTAGAGCAGAGCTGGGGGCAGAGTGGGGCTAGGTGGCACTCCCTCCCCACCCCTGTGTGGGCTGGCCTGGGTCCCACCATGCTGTGCCCCCCCAAATGTTCCTTTGCCCCCTCCCAGGGGAGTGCATCCCAGGGAGTTTGGAGACCTCTGTCTTAAGCTCTCAAAAGCCATTCCTAGCAGTGCATTAAAGGATCTTATAGTGAACACATCTGGTATATTTCCCTGCAAGGAAGCTCTGTAGCCAGACCACAGAAGCCTGACCCCTGCCAGTAGCAACCCTGCAATCTACCAAGTACAAGGTGTAGATGATCCAAGGAGGTCTCACTGACTACTTCAAGTTTGTGTTCTCTTTAAAAAAAAAAAAAATATCCTGTATCTACCACTCACTCAAGCCTGAGATGATTTTTTGTTAGTTGGTTGCCATGGAATGATTATGCTGCTTTGCTTAATTGACAGGTTGTACAAAATGCTGGCAAATGTTTGCAACTGCAAAATTTGCATTAATTTGCTATAGAGCAAGGGTTCTCAACCTTTTTCTTTCTGTGGCCCGCCCAACATGCTATTAAAACTCCACAGCCCACCTGTGCCACAATAACTGCTTTTCTGCATATCAAAGCCAGGGCCCTTGTTAAGGGCAAGCAGGGCAATTACCAAGGCCCCAGGGGACATTGTGAAACTAATTTGCTCAGGTTTCTGCTTCCGCCCCAGGGGCTGAGGCTTAGGGCCCCACACTTCAGCCCCATGCGGTGGGACTTTCGCTTTCTGCCCTGTGCCCCAGCAGGTCTAACACTGGTCCTGCTTGGTGGACGCCCTGAAATCTGCTCGTGGTCCCCCAGGAGGCCCCGGACCACTGGTTGAGAACCACTGCTACAGAGCACGGCAAAGACACAAAGCAGCATTGCTCATGTCATTTTGCTTTATAATAAAACAAATCCCAATAACTATATTTCAGGATGAAAATAATGGTATTCTACTCAGTGTTCATGGGAATGTCAAAACATTTTTCTAAAAAATCCTCCTACTTTTTACTGTATTGTAAGTGCATTTTCTCTGCTGAGGCTCACATATGGGGTCGTAGATGAAATACATTTCAGTGGCTTTCTGTGCTCTTTGCAGTTTAACATTAGAACTTTTGCATGTAAGCCATAGCAACGACTCGACTATTTTTATAGTATGATTTTGGTGAAGAGGTATGACAATTGGCTAAAATATTTTAGCAGTGATTAGTCAAAATACTAAACATTATGAGATTGTTTAAACCCTGCTAAGATATTGAAGTTATACTTAAGGGCCAAGTCATGCCCCTGGAAACAAATGGAGATGAATAACTAACTACCTTGGTATAAATCAGAGTTTAAGATGATCTGTTTATAGTCATGTGAAAATACCATCCCAGCATATAGTATAGGATTTCTGCTTTTGTTCCCCTTTCAGTGTGTTAATATAACTGGGTTGCCATTAAATGAATGATCCAGCATAACTCTTCAGTCATGCATTGGATTTGGCATTGAATTAATCGCAACAAGAAAAAAGGAATTCTGCAAAATACATTCCCGGCTGAAGTGGATTTATTCCCAGAGTTTTGGCTATGCAAACCCCAGTGCACATACTGAATAAGCAGCAGCTTATTTTCCAACATTCCACCAAACAATGTTTTCTCATTGAACTGTAAGAAAGAAAAAGTCATTATTAAAATATTTTAATTCTTTGTAACACTAATAACATGAATATTTATTTGAAAAATATTTCTTTCCACTTTAGTCCATCTTTAAATCAGTTACACTAACTTCCACTAACTAATATTTCAAATTACTGTCATTTTTCCCTCATATTGGTAAAAGATACAACTACAGTAAACTATTTCACAATTTTGGAAAAAGTATGAGAGATTATTCTTTCCCTCTCCTCCTATGATGAATCAGAAGCTTAAAAAACAAGGACAGAGATTATGGAGCTAACATATATGTTGACATATTTAACCTCACAAATAAATAAGTATATACAAGGGAGGTTGTTACATCAACAACAAAGTAGAGATTTTACATTGCAAAAGTGAGAGCATTCAAGAACATCTGACATAGACAGTTAAGGACTACTACATGGTAGTAAAAAAAGAGCAAATTCTTAATTTAGCAAAAATATAGGCAACTGTACATTAATCTGTTGGTTAGGTTACAGCTAGGCTTCAGCCAGGATACTTCTTTTACTTCATATTTTATTGAACGATTGTGTTTCATTAATTCCTCAATGTCCAGAAATATTTTCTTTTCCTTCTTGTCACTGTAGAACATCCTAGACAGGTAGAAATCTCACAGTAAGCTACTATCTGAAAACTATTATCTACTGCAGGAGGCAGGTGGGATGATACTATACAAGTTCTGTAAATGCTCACACATAAATTTTCCCTAAATTCTTTCCCTTGATAAAAGTATTTGACCAAATTCATTCATTTCTCCCCTGGAGTGATCAAGGTATTTATAGTTAAGGATAGGTTTCAGAGGAACAGCCGTGTTAGTCTGTATTCGCAAAAAGAAAAGGAGTACTTGTGGCACCTTAGAGACTAACCAATTTATTTGAGCATGAGCTTTCGTGAGCTACAGCTCAGTTAAGGATAATATTCCATTTGTGTGGGCACAGAATAAAATGATCTTTATAAACAAGTGGATGCAAAGAGCCCATAAAGGTACAAATCCAAATACCCTATTACTGAACATCTAATTGCTTCTTAACTGAGAATCAATAGCTGTATGACATCAGACCAGTGGTTTGTGGAAGTGTGATGAACAAAACTGATAGAAATTTTTAGGTAAAAATAATTTGATGAAAAATGGTCTTTTGGGGAAAATGTTCTTCATTTTTTTAATTTTTTTTTTGAATTTTCATGGAAAAATCCCATTTTCTGGCCAGCTCTATTACTGACATTTTAAATGAAATGTGCATTTACAGGTGTTTCACAATTTGGCATGGGTTTCTACCAAGACTGGCTCGAGGCACCAGCAAAGCAAGCAGGTGCTTGGGGTGGCACATTTCCAGGGGCAGCATCCGGCCACCCTTTTTTGCGGGGGGCAGTTGCACTCTTGGAGCTACGGGACGAAGGCGCCGCACCCCTGGCCTCAGTGGGAAGGTGAAGCCCCAGCCCCGGGATGCTGAGCTGCCAGGGCCCAGCCGCTACCTGGGGAGGAGAGGGCGAGTCCGGCCGGGGCTGCGCCACCGCATCTGCGCACTGGCTGCTGCGCTGCCTTGTGCCACCCCTTATATCGGGGCTTGTCGGCGCGGCCGGGCGGGGGAGGGCGGAAAGCCCCTGCAGGCGCTGGGAGAAGGTGACGTCACTCCCTCCGCTTCCAGCGCCGCCTGTGAGCCCCAGGCCCAGCTGAGCTTGGGGCGGCAAAAAACCTAGAGCCGGCCCTGGTTTCTGCATATTTTCAAGAATAGTTGTACACTTTTGATAATAGGGTTAGAAATGGCCATATTGTGCCACGGCTTGGAAAAGTAAAGTATTTTATGTTCTTCTTTGTCTTCTGCACACACTTCTGTGCATAGCACAACGATACAGAACTCAGTTTATGTTGCTTGGTCATTGCATCTCAAACAGTACAGATCTATATTTAGTTTAATCAGCTGATGCCAGTGAAAGCTTGAAGATATGGATGATGCAAGTCCACATGTAGATGCTGAATGTTATTGTGTAATGTAGTGTGACCTTGAGAGCCTTCACAAATTGCTATGTCATGTGACAGAAGTTCTCTGTACACGCAATATGGCCACAATATAGAAAATGGACAAGTTAACGTGTGGGCTTACAAGGGATCTGCAATGTATTGTAACTGATAAATTTATAGCACTATATGATTTACAAAGTGTGGGGTCCTTTGTAATATTTGCTATGAATGTACATGCTAACAACTCCCATTTCACTTGACCAACATGAGCACTCCGCATGGGCTCACACATACCAATGTGGGGGTTACAATGGGAGGTGTTGCTTTTTTGTACATCAATGAATATTGAAACGTATGTCTCTGTGTAAAGTCTGGAATTAGGTTATTTACTGATGTTGCACCAACTGAAACCACACACACAGGTATGTACTTAAAATTTGCAGGAGGGTTCTCAGGGGCTTGCACACCCTTATCATGAGCAAATCCTGGTGCGCATGTATATGATAAATGCTTTTCTGTGCACACAGATACAATGTGGTCCAGCGTTTACAGACTAGTTTCTGTATGCAATATTTAGATCCAATTTTCTTTGTGTGGTTAGCCCTGAAGATTTACTTATTCATTTGGTCAAAATAACCTTTGACACTGAAGTTAAGGTTTTCCACAGGTGAGGAAAACACTGTCAACAATGGACACCTAAACATCAAGAGTTTAGCAAATACAGTCAGGAAAATCCACATTTCTCATGAAGAAGAGTCTGACTAAGAAAGCTGCATCCAAGAGCTTGTGTGTACTGTGGGATACTTCTCCTGTTTTCTCTAACAGACCAAGTCTTCTACCCATTCAGATCTGACATTATTGAGAGATGGGCTTATGGAACTTCTTCAGTTTTGCAAATATACACATAGGATCACACCTAAATTAGCTGTCCCAATATCCTGTTGGCTGGCATACAGCTGATGTTTGAAAACAGTCTTTATTTCATGGTGGGAAAATGTCAGTATCAATACTAAATGACTGACTCTCTTAATGGTGAAAAAACCTTTTCTCGAGAAGAAGCTGTGAAGAGGATGACAATATACCATGGGAAAAATGACTACATCTAGTAATACAATTCTCCCCACTCAGTCTCCAAGTATTCCATTGTTTAGAATCTCCAGGCTTCATGTTGTCTCTGTGGTTCAGAAGTTCAGAAACCCAATCAGAACTTTGTGCTATGGCTGAATGTGTCTGACATCATGATATTTTTATAGAAGTTGTCTGAGTGAGCACTGCAGTACCCCTTGACTTTGTCAATAACCTGATGGACTGGGATGATTGGTGTCTGCTCTCCATCCACTTGGGCAAATTTTGATGCGGGCTTGTCAACAAAAGTATTGTCTAGGAAGGGGAAAATAAACAGGAACAGGAAATTAGGCCTTTAAAAACAAGATCATTATTTACCAGATTTGTCACCTGCAGCCAATCCTCCTCTACATTACTTTAGGTAATTTATTTTTTCAATTATATTGCTCTGCTGATTTTTGATATAGCCAATCAATAGTTTGACATTATACCTTCTATGTTCTTTTCAGTTATACGCTATAGACTAAATTCTACACATTCTAACCTACATATCTGGAATCCTAGCCTCTCTGCTCAGTCCTTTCCTGAAACTATTCCCATATCACTCCTTTTGCTTATGCTGCAACTATATCAAGGCACAATAGGATCCATTAGTTTATCTGCTGAAGATTCCAGCTACAGAACTCTCAAATTACAAAGGTTGTCTGGGTATTACAATATTACAGGATGGGGGTGATGCAAGCATTGCTTTGGTAACATTTGGTAAATAGCACCCCACCCCACTGAATCAAATAATGAAATAGCTGAAAAATGCAAGTGAAAAGCATGTAATAGTATGATAAAATGTTTTCAAATAACAGTTAAACAGTTTTCAAATAACACAACAAAAACAAGCACAGAAAGCAGCAGAAGATGATTCCAAATAAAAATAGATGAGCAGATTTTAAAACTGGCCTGATTCTTACAATTGCATCTATTTGACTTCCTAGAACATGGAGAATACAAGGAGAGCTGAGGAGCTATGTTTGTGGTTTTGTGGCACTAAATAGATGTGGAAAACTCGTATGTTTTCATGTTTCATGTGCTCTAAACTAAGAATGAAGCAGGAGATAAAAAGAAAGAAGACAGTTCACTCTTTGCCCCCCCCACCCCCTTTCACTTTCAAAAATCTACATCCCACTGTGTCTGATGATGTCAGTAATGCTTCTGATGACCACACCATACATTATTATCACCATATACCCAAGCTGGTTTGAAGGGCATTTTACACAGAGGACACAGGAATATCTGAGTACTCAGGTATAAGGAGAAAGTATTTTGTTTCTGCTGTATGGATCATCATCGTTCTCCACGTTACCTGATACCGACTAAGGCTTATTCAAAGAGGGGCTTGAATATCTCCACAACTGCCACCTTTATCCCTGAAGCCTTCACTCATATAGCCTCCACTGTGGTACTTTTCTTCAAAGAAGACAAGCATCCACTTGTGTGGCTAACAGCATTGCAGTTCTGAGTCTGACCAGTAGGGAGAGCTCATGTAGTGAGCAATCATTACCTCCTCTTTTTAGACTGTATTTAATGAGTTCCACAATCTCTTCCAACCTGCTCTTTGGGATCAGAATTTCTCTTTTTAACCCAAGTCTGATATGACCCAACACAAAATTTGATAGCAAGATGAATGGCTGCATGAAACAATGCTCTCCACTGCTGGCACTTTAGTCAACCAGCTTAATACTGCTTATAGTAAAACCACCGTCCGATAGTTCTTCTGAAAAAGGTAATTTTATTTAAATCAGTGTATTTTATTATATTAATATTAGAATGTTTTATATAAAATATTATATAAAATAAATATGCTGCTTACCAATGAAAACAGAATGTAAATGCAGGTTTCAGAAAAGATTTAACAATGGTATCAAGCTATAGTTCTCATAAAGATTTGCAATATGAAATGCTGCTGCATTGCACGTAAAAGAGAAATGGATCACATAGAAGAAAATCTAAACAGTTTCATTATGAACAAAAGAACAGGCAGTTTAAGAATGATATTTCTTCAAAGCGGGTGAAAATGGCTAATGAATTACCAGCAAATAACCCCTTGTACTACTGAAAATGGCTGGGTACTATGTGTTCTTCAATTTCATTTACTCACTAGCCAATAATTTTACATTTTGAGGTTTTTCTGTTTATTTTGTTTAAAAGGAGTTTAAAATGAGAATTCTTGTTTCCAGGGAAGACTGTTTCAGTACCCAAAAAATGATTATGCACATTCAAACAGCTTCATTAAACCTAACTCTCATTTTCCAAAACATTTTTTGTACTCTGTATACCTATCCAAAGCTCTCTGGAGTGAATGGGAGTCTTCTAGTTGAGTTAAATGGGCTTTGGATCAGACCCTATAGATGAAATCTTGGCCCACTGAAGTCAATGCGAGTTTTGCCATTGATATCTGTGGAGTTAGTATTTCAGCATATATGATCTTTCAGTGCTTCAGGTGACTGCTTTCTGTCAGTCCCATATCACAGCTGTGTCACATGATTCTGAAAACTCATGAAAATGGTTTCTTTTGTCGATTCTACTAAACAAATTCTCAACTTGAGTAGTAATACACAACAAAGTTTCTAGGCATATTTGAAAAATACGATCTGTCATTCAGATCTAATTTTGATGTAATTGAAAGATATTTAAAACCAATAGCTAGGAGATTGACTTCTATAATGGCTATAGGCCCAAATAAAGAGACAATTTCTAGAACCCTGGCATTACCTTTCATACGTTCATTCCTTCTAGAAATGTACTGTGATATATCTAGCAATTCACCACATAACTTTTGACAGTGGGGTGTTTTTTTTGGGTCTTTTTGCTTTCAAATGCACTTTTTTTGTTTAAAATTAATGTTATTTTTCTTTATCAGGCATCACATGGTGAACATTAATACTGTGACAGTGTACGTTTTCTAGAAGGGTAATCTTTCAGATACCCCATGCTCCATGCAGAGTATAGACAACCAGAGTTTGAAGCATATTTGCCTTTTGAATTACAGCCAATCAGCTTCAATAACAAAAAGATGAATAGTGAAGCATAAGCAGTATTTCTGATTAGCAATAGTCCTTTTGGTGTCAATTAGGACTTCATGCACGTGATTCCCCCTCCACCCTGTTGAAATCATGCATTCAACAAAAATGATGCACACTTTACCTGGAATGTTCCACCTCTGCTGAGGAAATGCTCTTAGAAGACATTATCTATACCATAAACATATGAATGTCTGGGTCAATTCCAGGGATCAACAACCACGTTAACAGCTACCAAGACATACATCTATTACACTGTATACTAAAAATGGTTATAGATTCACCAAGATAACAATTTGAGTAGATTAGCTGTGCAAAAATCTGAACCAATTGGATAAAAAATAACTTCTGAATTTTTTTTATGCCATGAAAACTTGTTTGAGAACCAATGTAGATATCTGAAAAAACTGGATCCAGCCAAAAGTACTTTACAGTGTCACCGGTAGAAAAAGTGAAATAAAATGTATATTTGAAATGGTCAAGGGAAAAGGAAATCACTATAATATTAAAAAGAATGCAGAATATTTTAGTGCTTCTATAATGTCCATTAAATTATTGCATTACCATCTATGACCCAATTCAGGAAAGTCCTGAAACTTGTAATTAAATCCATCCCTATCCAGGAAGCACTTAGTCACTTGCTTAGCTTTAAGCATATGATTAAGTGTTTTCCTGCGTGAAGATGCTTTTCTGAATTGGGCCTGAGGGGTTTGATTCATGGCCAGGGGTGATGGAGGTGCAATTGCAATATGAAGTGTACACAATACAGCTGTGCCTTTGAGGAGCTTCATTCGAAAGGGCATATCGTAATAGCACTATTTAGAGTTTCAATTAAGAGCGAGGTTGTTTTAAATTCCAGCTCCTCCAGTATCCAGTGGAGGCTGCTCAGGAAATGTGTGGAGTCAGCTCATCTCTTGGGCCTTTGGCCACACCTTCACGGCTAGCCCTTTGCGGAAATAGTGGTGGTGGCAGGTTTGTTCTGCTGTAACTTCCCTTTTAATAGGATTTTTCTACCACCAAGGTCTTGCAGCCCAGGTGCCACTGGCAAAGTACATAAAACTCCATGACTAGTGTAGTTAACTCTCAGTTAAAAACATATAAGTAGTTACTTGGGCATAAGAACCTAGCTTGAGTAATAAAAACATCCTGTAGAAATGTTCCCTTATATGGAAAACATTCTTGGTTCATTTCAGAACCTCTCATCTGATGTCTCATCTCCCTGCATGCAGAGGCTCTGACTACTTTTAGTGGGGATATGCACATGTAGGAAGAGCAGAATGTTGAGTCTTGATCTTCAATAAGGTTCTGAGCGGAGAGTTTTGCCTAAGGTTAAAAAATATTTAGTACCTGGTCTGATCATTATTCCAAAAGGATTGTCTCCCAGTTTATTTGAAGGTATAATACATTTGTTTGTTTTTTTTATATTTTTGTTCTTCCTCTTTCTACTTACATTTTATTATCTGGAGCCTTTTTTATTTCTCTTAATGCATGAATTCATTTTCTTTTAAGACTGCACTTTAGAAGCACTAAAAGTAGTGAAAACGCATGATCAGGCATGCTCTAATTGCTAATGTTCTACAAAGGCCCTAATTTACCAAAGCATTTAAGTATGTATTTAATTTTAAGTATGTTTTTGTCTTTAAGCACAGGCTTGCTGTGATCCAACAGAAAATAAGTGTTGATATAAAACTGCTGCATAGGACTCTAACGTCTCAGCTGTCATTAGCATAAATGGAATTGTATGTCACCAGTACCACAAACTGAACTGAGAAAGTGCTGTGGATTGAACCACAGAGAGATATACGTGACTCTATAACATATAAAATTTGACACATCTACAGTATGGTCAGCAGGGAACAAGAGAATGTAACCAGGTACTGTCTGCTGAGTTGGCATTGCTGTAGTGTCATAATAGCAGCACGCTTACTGAAATAAACCAAACACTATGAAAGCCGACGTGGGGAGGAAACACCTTTTATATGGTAAAGACAGCTGGAAATAGGGGCGGGGAGCACTCTGCACAAGGGGATGGGCTGCATGGCTGGTCAGTGTTAAGCAGTGTGAGCTAATGGGTTTGGCAGTGGCAGTCACAAGTGCTAGGATTTGGTTCTGAAGACTGTGAGTGTTAGAGGCACAAAGCCAGCAGAAAGCCTGGTGTGAGCAGGACCATGAGGGGAAATGGATGGACAAGGCTTCTGGGAGCCAGAGTTCACTGAACAGGCACATTGGAGGAATTCTGATCCAGGGAATTTCTTTCTGTTGTTTGTTTCCACTGTGTTTAGGGAAACAGGACTTTGTGTAGATTCTTTGTAAGCAAATAAGATTACACCAATAAAATACCTGACTCGTATTAACTTCTCATAATTGAAACAATCCTGCAAGGCCTGGAATACTGGCTAACTGCTCAGACCAAAGAGGCAACATAAACGTTTGAAAAACTGGATCTAACCAGCCAGCTATAGTCCACCTGAATGAACCACATGACAAGGAGAAGGAAAAGCAGGAAGGTAATTCCTGGTACTAAGCCACATCGCCTGTTCAGACTGTGGGCAAAATTCACCTCTCCAAACCATACAGTGAAACTTGACGCTGATGCTCTGTTCTCCATATTTGTGTAGAGCTTCCGCTGATGTCAGTAGGAGATCTACACATGAAAGAGACTGCAGTATCAGATGTGGGACTAGTCTCGTGAATCTGTGAAGTGTATTTAGTATTATAAGAAGTCTGAAAGTTCCTTCTAGTCATTTCATTTAAGCCAAGTCTGTATTTTTGAAATTATTCATAAAGGAGATGATGATTTCAAGGAGTGAATCTAACAGATTTTTTTAAAATGTTCCTAGAATAAGTACATGATTATTTTGTGTGAATGGAATATAGAGATATAGATGGTCCCTTTTATTACACACATGACATCTGAACAGCTATGTAGTAACTACTGTATGCTATTTGTAAAAGGTGGAAAACAGTGTATATTTTTTAACACAGTACGATCAAACCTCCAAATTACTACATTTACTGACAAAGGGACAAATGGAAGTTAAATGGCAGGCAGCTTGTTCCAGTAGACAGCAGCCTGGAGTGGAGCTCAGAAGATAGGGGCTCTATCCCAACTCTGCTTCTAGCCTGCTGTGTGACTGTGGGAAAGTTGCATCACCTCTCTGTGCCTCTGTTTCTGTAACATGGGCTACTATTACCTACCTACCTTTTAAATCTTTGGGTAAAAGTGCTATGTAAGAGCTAAGTAGTGTTATTAAATATACTTTTTATATCACAATAAAATTCCAAGATTAGATATTTACCATGGTTGGTGACTCTTGCCTCATGACAGCCCTTAACTAAAGAAAAAAACGTTTTTTAAAATGCTCAGTTGACTTCTACTCAGGGATGTCTTTTATACATGAAGGTAACACAAGTCACTGACATACCTATTGTGCAAAGTAAACAGTCACAATTTGAAGCACCATACCAGAAAGATCTCTTTGATGTACGAGAAATGACCCACCTGTATGGCTGTTTCTTTTGAAGTATGTATTTGAAGTGGATTTAGATTTGGATGTCAGGTAGGTTGAGTTGGAACCAATAGAACTGGAGGACAAAGATTTCCCAAGATTGTCTGAGCTTTTCTTTATAATATTAGTTGCTGTCTTGCTCCAGTCTGAAAATGAATAGGCATTTTTTAAAAATCATTCATTTCTATTAGCACTAAAGTCCTGCTTCTCTCAAGATTTAATTTCCAAGCATCAGAAGCACTTTTTACATTACTTATAACAAAGTGGTCTGCTCTAGTTCTTGTCTGGTGGCATTTTTTGTTATTTAGAAGGCAGGACTATTTCAAGATTCTTTACTTTGTTATTAAGGATGACATTAAAGAACAGCAGTTGATATTTCCACTTTCTAGATAGGGTTAAAACTAATTGATGGTCAGAGGTGGTGTATTTCTGAGTTGCTCAAAGATGCTCAACCCCCGATCCGCCCCAGGCCCCTCCACCCCTTCCCCCAAGCTCCCACCCGCCTCTTCCCACTCCTGCCCCACTTTTCCCCCTCCCCTGAGCATGCCCTGCCCTCACTTGTCCCCTTTCCCCCAAATGCCTCCTGTATGCCACTGAACAGCTGATCGCGGTAGGTGGGAGGCACGGGGAGGAGAGGGAGGAGCTGATTGAGGGGGCTGCCGGTGGGTGCTGAGCACCCTTATTTTTTTGCTGGAGCACCCGTGGCGTCGGTGCCTCTGTTGATGGGGTAGTCGAAATGGCATTGCCAAACTTCTTATAAAATTAACAACAACTACTATTCTTTATTTGTATTCTGGTAATGCCAAGAGAGCCCAGTAAGGGATTGGGACCCTGTAGTGACAGTTTTGGGTGCACGAGGAATAAACAGTCAGGTACCTACTCTTTTTTTTATGATTAAAAAGAACAATGCAAAGAAATGTGGCTCACAAGCATAGATAACCAATGGTCTCCATAATTTTAAATCTTAGACTGTGAGTTCTGTAGGGCAAGGACTGTGGGGAAGGTCCATCAAGAATGGAGTGGGAAGAACCAAGGTGACTTTTTGCCACCTTTGCACTCTTGCAATTCTGGATCTGTGTGGCTGGATTCTAATTTACACCTGGCTAGACATTCCAGCAGCAAGAGATTGTTGGGATCTGAGGTTGCCCTGGCCATACCCTCTGTGCTGAGGGATCCAGGAGAAAGGGTGTATGAGGGCTATTACTATGGCTACTCCATGCAGGGATTCCCCTTCTAAAGAGGAATCATAAGGGGCTGGACCTGTTAGATCTAAGGCTGCTTTGTACTGCTGAATTTGGACCCTGGGTTCTCCTATATATGTGTACAGTACCTAACCCATTGATATAATAATAATATACCTTTGAATGGAATAACTTTAAATGATCTAATTTGCATCTAATTTAGATTGTTGCTAAACTAAGCTTTTTTTACAACTGAAACAAACAATCCCTCCCTCAGTCATTCCCTCCTCCCCCAAATTCGGACAAAAAGTTACTTTGTGATTAAATGTTGTTAGAATATTGACATTCCGAACCTCACAATGTATGTTTCAAAATTAGTACATACAGGAGTAAATTTAACAGCTAATTTTACAAAACATATTGCAACACATACCTGCATGTAAGGTTAGTTTCAAATCCTTGTTCCTTTTGTGGTTCTTACTATTATAATTTATTCTTCTGGGAGAAAAGTAATCCACATGAAGAGGGGCCCAAACAAAGAACTATGTACCACTTAAATCTTTAATGCTTGGTTTATGTAAGCAGCAGGACTTTATCTTGACTCTTTGCACTAGGGTGAATTTTACTATTTTTGTGATGCTTACCATGACAACATGCAGATTTTTGATCAGATCGTGTTCTAAGGTTCATTTAAATCTGATCATGTTTTTAAATCTTATTTGATTTATACTCTACTCTTCCAGCTGCTAATGGTGTCATGCTGACTCTCCTTAACAAACCAGCCAGCAGTGAAGAGTTGGTAAGTATAAAAAGTAATTATGCCACATAAAGTACCACCCCTGAAGTCCTTGAATGCTTCAAACTTTTATTGCTATCCTCCCCAAAGGCTGCCAAGAGCAGTGTAAAAATCTGGAAATAATTTGGTCCATCTGCAGTTGCCAGTTCATGATTTACAAGGCATGCGTGTTGGAAACTGAATGCATGAAATAATCTGGATGCCTGATCAGAATTAATGTATCTTTCCTAGTTTGTGTTAACTTTGATTTCATGAGTCAGGATTTCTTAATATGAAATGACAATATAAGATTCATCACAGCTTACAGTGAGAATGCCTCACCTGCTGGCATTAAAGTAATTAGGACAAAATGGTATTACACTAAATTGCCCAAGGCCATGGAGTCACACACAATGCCAATTTACACCAGCCAAGGCTCTGACCGTTGGTTTGTGAGTAAGTATCATATGGTCAAAAGTGTAAGCATCCACATTGCTGCAACTCACTTCAAATCTTTAGGTCAGACAGTAGATTTATGGTTTACATAGAAAAAATATTATTTCTGAGAGTATATCAAACTGTGGCATGTTAATGTGACTTCAATGGAGCAATGCTGATTTACACTAGCTGAGGAGTTGAGCCAATATTATCAACACATTGGGAAGTGGCTTTTGTGCCTGCGGAAGGCCCAGAGCAATAGGTGTTTGCTATGGGGAGCAGCAGCAGCGAGTTCCCACAAGGGAACCTCACATTCCCTGCCACTTTGAGATCCTGTTTGTAGGAAGGGACATCAGTTTCTGAGTGTGCTCAAGCCTCTTTCACTCTGCCCCTGGTAAATCTTTTCTGGGTACTGTGGTTTCTATGGCAATAGTACTGAGGGGGAAAGAGCTAGGATGCACACAGGACACATGTGAGGTTGAAAGATCCCTGCCTCAGCAGTTCAGCATATGGCTCTTGTGAAGCACCTCCAATATTCCCTCCACATTAGTCTGATAGCCCACAGGATCACTTGGCCTTGCACAAGCCCCTCATACATAGGGAAAAGGGGCCAGATTTGACCCTCTGAATCCTTATTTAAACAATGAATCACTGTTGCTGTAAAACAAAAGGGACTTCCAAAGCCATGCTCACAGCATTGCAAAATTTACCAGCTGGCTTCACTGGAAAACTTCAAGGGAGGACTGGAGACTTTTTTGTGGAGCGCTCTCTGAAGAGTCCCTAGGCAATCATTATTACAGTCATAGGCTAATAATAATCATGTTCCTTACTCTTTCCACATCTGTGGCCTAAATTGTGTTAAATACAAGAGACCCAAGCAGTGCACCTGGCCTTTTCCAGTCTACTGCTGCATCTCAGAAGTGGAGACATGAAATAGGCATGCTTTTTTTCACCTGAGTTGTCTGCCAATCGGAATCTGCCACAGCAGAGATGTCTCCTCCATTGTTTCTGCACATTCTCTTTCATAGCACAGTGGAATACAAATATAAATAAACCTGCAAGCAAATGGACAAATCAGAATTTTATTTGTATAAAATCTTAATGTTGCAAACATTCTGAATACCACTATGAACTGGTCCTCGTCATCAACCTGCGTCACTGAGGTGTACAAGGTAAAAGATACTTGAGTCACTGAATGCTTAGCCATCCTCTAGGTTTTACACAACCATGACTTTCATTGACTTGAAAGAGCATTCATTTTGCGCTCATAAACACTGCAAGATCAAGACCTCCAAAGCCAAGTACAGCAAATATTCTACGCTGAGGGAGATTTTTCCTGTTTAACGCCTAGTATTCCAGATCTACAGGGCCAACTTTTTAAATATTGGAGACTGGAAGTCTCTGCACAATAAAGTGCACAAGAAAGATCATCACTATTTGCATAAATATTTACTGACTATGAGTGTGAAAATGGGGAAAATACATTTGTAAATTACTATGGAGGTGCCCACCTAGCCATTTCTGCCTGGTTTGTGCATACACTTGTTGTAAATGTGCCTACACATGCAGGTGCACACACCTGTAAGCAGCATTTTTTTGCATGCAGATCTACAGCCACCAATTTTCAGAATGCAGTCCTGTGTTGCTAAGAAGCTTGTAATTTGGGTTAATGGTACAACTGTAATAGTTCCACAGAGATACTCCAGTGCTAATTTTGAAAGCAGAAATAGGAATTATAACATGAGCCTGGCCCTTCACGGGTAGGCGTTAGTTGTGGAATCTTCCATCTCTCTCTGGCTTGGCATGTGCTTGCTTCATTCTCATTAACTGAGGCAGAGCCAAGGCTGAACCTGAGGGCAAAATTCTAATGCCAGATCCCTAAATGATTATATCTGTAAAATGATTTAAGTGAGATCTATTGTGGGCCTAAATGCTTAACTGGTGTTCTTTGGAGATTTGTCTGTTTCCTAAACATGCTTAACTCCGTGTGCTCATGTCTACTGGGATTTAGAGGGTGGAACAACAAGACAGTTTGGGGTTTGGAAAATATTGTCTGAATCATTAAAAAAATCATTACTAGCAAACATCTCAGTACCTGGGCACTGGTGTACTTTGGCATGTACAATTGGGCATGGACCTGGGTCTCTACCCTAAAACAATGCGCAAACTGTGCTCAGTGAGGACTGAAACCTGCTTGCTTTGTTATCTTCTGGTGATGGCTGAATAATGAAAAATGTTGCTTGCAAATTATTTGATACTTGACAAAAAAAATGGTAAGAACTAAAATTCAGGAAGTACAAAACCAATTAAAATCCTAACTACTGAGCTTGTGAAGGCCTTATAAATGGAACGATGGCACTTCTAATGGTCTTTCTTTATGCAAAACAGTAACTTTTGGATACTGCATCTGATCAATTCCGAAATATGAAAGAAAGATCTAGAGACAAGGTGAGAGAGGGTATCTTTCACTGGACCAGTTTCTGTTGGTGAGAGAGACAATTACCTCACCCACCTTATCTCTCTAAGATCCTGGGACTCACAGAGCTGCAGCTACACTGCACACAAGGAAAGTTCTAGGCATCAGCTGGCAGAACTCTGTTTTTCCATTTTCTGATTTTCTGCAATAAGTGTGTGTGTGTCTGGGGGGGAGGAATACAGAGAGCATCTGAATTTGATTAGCACAGCCACAGTTGCAGTCACCTTTGCAGTCCTCTATAGATCAAATAACTGGCTGATGTCACCCATTAACTCCTTCCAGCATAACAATACCCCATCTCATCTCAGCCCCTCCTCACAAGGAGTTTGACATGTTTACTCCCTGCATGACTTATCACATGGTGAGAAAAAGACAAATAACTAGGGGTGTGTTAGGAGTGGGGGCTGGGAGAAATAGGAGTGTGTACACAGCCTCTGGCATGGGAAGGGAGAATGGGGGACCCTAGTATGGGGGGAGGAATAGGGGGCACAAAGAACCCTGATGTGTGCGGGATATTGGGGACCCCTGCTATGCGGGGAAGAGGGAATGGGGGCACACACAGAGCTCCTGTCATGGGTGTGGGGAATTGGAGACCCTAGTATTAGGAAGGGGAGAAGGGCTGCACACAACCCCCAGCTGGAACAGCTCAGGGAAGTTGCAAGAAGGCCCTGGAATGGAGGGGGATGGGAGGATGGCACACAGGGAGCTTTTGGGATGGAATGGAGGGATGCAAGGAATCACTAGTATGTAAATAAGATCCATGAAATGCGCAACCCTCTAGTACATAAAGTTTGTTACTGCATCAGAGCCTAAATGCAAATACAACACTTTATACATTACTTGCCCCTTTCTATTACTTAAAGTATGTGCTTCCCTTCAAGCACCTGAATAACCCCACTGAAATCAACAGGATTTCTCACATACTGCAAGTTAAGCTTGGATGTAAGTGCATTGCTGAGCGCATTGGGAACTTAATGCAGAGCTGGGCAAACTATGGCCCACGGGCCACATCCGGCCCATAGGACCCTCCGCCCCGCCCCTGAGCTCCTGGCCTGGGAGGCTAGCCCCCGACCCCTCCCCTGCAGCCTCAGCATGCTGCGCCGCCGGCACAATGCTCTGGGTGGCAGGGCAGCGCAGTTGCAGAGTTGCAGCCTGATCCAGTGCTCTGGGTGGCGCGGCTGTAGTGCTCCAGACAGCACGGTAAGGGGGCAGGGGTGGTTGGATAGAGGGCAGGGGAGTTGGGGGTGGGGGTGTGGGTAGGGGTCGGAGCGGTCAGAGGGGAGGGAACAGGGGGGTTGGATGGGGCAGGGGTCCCAGGGGACAGTCAGGAAGGAGGGTGGGGGTTGGATGGGGCGGTGGGGGGCAGTCAGGGGCAGGGGTTCTAGGGGCGGTCAAGGGACAGGGAGCAGGTGGTGGTGGATGGGGTCGGAGTCCTGGGGGGGGCCGTCAGGGGGCGAGAAGCGGTGGGGTCGGATAGGAGGCGGGGGCCAGGCCACACCTGGCTGTTTGGGGAGACACAGCCTCCCCTAACCGGCCCTCCATACAATTTTGGAAACCCAATGTGGCTCTCAGGCCAAAAAGTTTGCCTGCCCCTGCCTTAATGTATCCCTTTGATGGTACCCTAAAGCCCACAATGTTCTTCCACTATGTTTCCAATCTCTCTAGACCCTGTGTATTACTCATTGATACATTACAGCAAATACTTCTTTATTCTTATCAGAAGTAAATCATATCAGAATCTGGGGAGAAAAAATATTTAAAACACCAAATATTTCCTTGGGAGGAAAAATATTTAAAACACCAGATTCAAACACCTTTTGGACATTTTGACTCACATTTTACCAATATTATTTTCTTCCCACGAAAGCTTAGTAAATCTCTTACAGCAGTAAATTTGTTTCATCTGTAGCAGACAGAATGAAATCCACACAGAACAAATGCTTTTCTGTGAAGGAAAGATATTTTGCTGACCTTTGGAAAAATTTGTTTTTATCTCCATATTTATTTGTTGGTGGGATGATATGCTCTCTATTAATGACATCCTTATTGATTTTTTTTTGTGGGGCAGAGGATTCTTATGCTGGGTGGTTTATGCACAAATTTGCTTGAATTTAAATTTTTAAATATCAGTGGAATAATTCTATAATTTATCCTGTACAATGACTTGATTACAACTTACAGCATTTTCCATAACTGAAGGATACATTATGCTGGAAATATAACCCCCCCAGATCTTCAATAAAGGAAAGAGACCTGAACAGAATGCTGTAATCACTAGCGTTACTTTCAACTATGAGCAATAGCAAAAGCAGGGCTGGTCGACTTGAAGAACTTTGCAAGCATTAATTAATTAAGCCTTACAACATCCATGTGAGGTAGGCCTCCTTGTTTTACAGATTGGAAGTGAGACACAGAGAGAATTAAGAAAAGGAGTACTTGTGGCACCTTAGAGACTAACAAATTTATTTGAGCATAAGAATTAAGTGTCCCATGTTAACGCAGTGAATTAGTACCAAAGACAGATCCTAAGAAACCTGGTTTCGAGTCCCCTGGTCAAACCACTAGAAGCACTCCCTTGCATAACATCAGCAGCTAAATCCTTGCTTTGTTTACTGAAATTGAATTAATCTTACCTTGCAATGAATTGAATATTGCGAAGAGGTACATGAAAGGGAGATTTAAGGGCCCCCAGGCAAAAAAGGCAAAACCCCATGTCATGCCCAACAGGAAGGTCAGGCTGACCATGCTACGAAGATTCCTTAGGACCTCTTCCCGCAGGGTCCGATTGCTTCTTTTCCCATTCCTCCCGCAGATCTGCACCATCACCACCACGAACATGGCTATGTTCATAAGAAACATAATTCCAAAGTAACCAGCACAAGTCACATAAAAGACAACCTTATCCTTGATCCAGCAGCTGTTTTTAAGAACAAAACAAAAAACAGTCATTCTTAGATACTAAAAACTATGCTCCTCTTTAGTTATTTAAATCGTTACATGTAAAACTAATCTACATCTGTCTCCATTGCTGTATTGATAAGATTTCCCCTGTGGAACAACCCAAACTTTGACCATTTTATTTCTTTACGCAGGGTGAAGCTCTGGGGCATCTGTGAGTAACTAAGGAACACACTGGTATCTTGCCAGGTACCTGAGCGATGTACCTACTATATATAAAATTCATGTTTACCATATAGATGTAGCCTGTGGGAAGTACAGTCCCACCATGCAATGCTCTACCATAATCTGAAGTGGCTTCAGGATCAAGATAGAACATTGTATATTGGTGTAACAAACTAGCAGCATACACATGCTCACAGCTCTCAGATAGTACTGAAATGGGACCACCAGCATAAAAATTCAGCTCTCTACTACTTGATCTTAAGAAAGTAGCACGGTGGGTGGTCTTTGGGGCTAGCCACTAGACAATCATGATCACAGGCACTGGGCCAGGGATCAGTTGCGCCTATGTTGCTCATTCTTTTAGCTGCAAATGGCTGCCTGAGAGAACTGGAATGCTTAACATGAAGTTTTAATGAGAAGATATAATGGTGGTTTTTTTTTTCAATGTGCTGTTTTATCAGGCAAGACTTGATAATATATATAGTCAGTGAGAAAATAAGCTTCTCTGAGATTGTTTGGAATGTCTACATAAAAATGTGGAAGACAGAAGTGCTAGGTAGCTTACATTGTGAAAAGGCTGTTTCATTTACAAAGGAAACATGATTATTAAGCAACCTCTTCCTCCCTTCCCCCCAACCAATCTTTCGTTTCCATCAAAAAGTGAAAAATTTAAGACAAAACCAAACACAGTATTTTTTTTTTTTTGTGAAACAGCAAAGCTATGAGTTATTCACTTTTAGCGAATAGGGATATTTTTACATGGCTTTTGGTAATATAGGATTGCTTCTGATTTTCTCATAGCTTTTAGAAGGCTTCAGAAGCAAACAATTTAGAAGATAATGATCACACCTTTTTCTTGTTCTTTATCTACAAACTTTATGAGACCATTGATGAGTGCCAGTTTGGCCACTCCCAAATTCTTTGCAAAATGCAAACACAGAACTGTAACAGATTTTTAAAAATTACTTACAAATCATCTCCTCCTTGCTCTTTAGCACCTCTGCCATATAAATCTTTGCCATAAACACGACTTGCATTTGTATTTGTGCTTGCTAATACAATTGTGACCACTAGAGCTGGTAAACCTGTAATACAAGAGAAAGCTATTGTATTTTTGTTTTCAAAACCCAAAGCATCTGAAACTCCCAGACAAAGCTGCATTATTGATGATCAAAAGAACTGAAAATGTTTGCGTTAGCGTAGAGTATCTTGAGGTAGCCATATAACTCCAGATCTGTCCATGACACACCACAGCATGGAAGAACAGCATGAAATAAATGATTTCTCACAAATCTCCATCTAAGGATCTCAAAGTGCTTTACAAGCATTAACAAATTAAGGGATAAATATTATTATTACACATGGGGAAAGTAAAGTAAAAATGTTCAACCCTGATTACTTAAAGTTAGGCTCCCAAATCCATATATAGGCATGTAACTTAAAACAGTCTGATTTTTAGAGGTGCCGAGTACTAACTAACTAAGTTCTGTTGAAATCAGTGGGAGCTACAAGTGCACAATCCCTTTAAAAACTGGCCCTCTTTTATTCCTTCAGCTACAATGTAAAGCTGTGCAGTTTGTATTTTTACAAAACTCTATATGCTCTATCTAGACCCCTACATAAACAGAAGTTCTATATACTTTTTTCTATATAATATTAAGTGAATGTAGTGCTTGAGAAAGGTGCTGGACTGACAGCTATACTGAAGCCCTCTGTCCTCAGAGATACAGCACAAGCAGCATCAGTGTAAGTCTCTCATACTATGCTGTTTATGTGTCTCATCCCTGTGTTGGAGAAATTACTCCTAAGGGTCAGTTTCACTGACCATTCAATCCTTGTCCTCTCTGCTGAGACTATATGGAACCTACCAACTAGGAACTGGATTGTGATCACCACAATGTTCATGAGGCTAATGATTTTGTGTTGCTCTGTATTATTTTGAACACAACAGATGCATTCAGGCAGCATGTCTGGCAGAAGCCAAAGGGCCCTGCTATAAAAAAAAATGAAGAAAAGCCTTCTTAGTTATTTTTCAGAAATACATTATACTTGTGGTTGAGGCACTGGACAGAGGCTCAGTAAATCTTGGTTTGATTCCTTTCGACATTTCATTTAACAATTTAGTGAAGTTTACTAAAACAAACAAAAAAGTACAAAACATAAAAAAACCTGGAAAAATTTCATTTAATTTTGGCTTAAACATTTTGTTCAACGTGAAATTCCTCCCCCCTTGCATTTTGCAGTTTTGCCACTGAACTAAAAAAATCAGTTATCAACTCAGCTCTAATGTTTATCGAGTGCCTGGCACAATGGGGTTATAACCTCACTTGGAGCCTCTTGGCACTGCTGGAATGCATAATAATACGTAATTTAAATATACAGTATCTAAGAAATACATCTTCTCACACATACCCCAGCCAATAATGCAAAATTTCAGTATGTATCGCCGTATGTAGGTGTTGAACACTTTTACTAGAGCAATGTACATGTGGACTGCTTCCAGTCCCATCCAGGTAAAGGTGGCCAGAAGGAAAAAGTGCAAAAGGGCAGCAACAGCTATGCAGAGGCCTTCTATGTTGAATGATGCTATCCAACCATCCAGCAGGAAGACCAGGTTGAGAAAGAGCAAGGCTGTGCTCAAGTTCATTAAGATTTTGGAGGGGTAATCTCTTCGTAACTTCCTAGAGAGACAAAAACAGAGGCATATGTTAAGTAGCCAAAATGTACTGAGATATTTATAGCAGCTGTGGTTACCAATTTACAAAGGAAATAAGGAGCAGTGGTCTCTTCTTGATAAAAAACTGACATAGCAATAAGGCATGTTGGTATGGACTTTAATGGTCTTTTGTTGAAATCCTCTGTTGCATTTCTTAGGCAGAAAGCCACAGCTATTCCTGATCAATGGCTCATTAACAAATGACCATACTGTCATTATACTAAGTATCTAATGTATTACGTATAAATATAACCCCCCCCCCAAGGTTACATTTTAAAACGTGTTTTGTGTTTCATTGAATAATGTAGACAAATTGAAGGAAAAAGCTTTAAAAATGTAGTATCAACCAAGAGCCAATTTCTGCTTTTTTTTTTTTTTAAAAAAGTTCATTACTTTTTTATTTTGGGACATAGTCCACTACAGATTCTCATTCTCTGTAGTTTGTGAAATCCTAATGAGTTTAAAAATCAAATGAATTTTCCTTCCAACTACTGAATACTACAGTTCATGTACTGGAAACCTACCCAGCAAATTGTGTCCTCTTTGGACCATAGCATTATACCACAGGGACTGTGCAGAATGCAGTAATTGGTGGTACACATGGGTACTTTTTAAGAGCTCCACAGCATGCCCTACTACATAATATCCTCTTTTCTGAGCCACCCTGCGCTGTTACGTCAGGGTTATTCTTGTGATTGTGTGGCTAGAAGCTGACACAACTTCACTTCACCTCCCGTTCCCATCTTCCCCAGAACTGTGCCACTGCACAGTCTCCTTACCCCTGGGCCATCCTGCCATTTCTGTAGGATGTTTTCAGAATTGTTGAGTAGATGGCATATCTTCATTTCACTTCCCCTCTCTACCGAAAGTCTCCAGCCTGAAAGGGCTGGATTTTTCCTGTTATACTTAGGAACTATGAGGTCTAAATAGCAAGTTTAAAAAAAAGACTGAGTAACATGTTGGTAGATTTTTGAAATATATGAAGGGACACATTATGCCCCTCAAGAAGATTATTTGGGACCAAGATTCCACTACTTTGCCCATCCTGAGCCACACAAAGTGGTCAGACTAGGAAGCGAGTATCTGGGCTTGGCCCTCTTTATAAGAAACATTCCACATCTAACAGTGGAGCACAGTGGTGTTCAGCCACTTTTTGTGAGACGCATGGGCATCCCGATCCAATCAAACAAAATCTCCTGGCCTGTGGTTACAAACAAAATATTTGTTTTGAATTGTTTTCGATGGCACAAATACTTACTCAAAAGCAATATATGTCAGAAGAGTTGCAGCTGAAAATATGGCAGATATCCCACAACCAATGTAGGTGATAAAGGTGAGGACTTTGTTATTTTGTGGATCTATTTGTGAAGCAGTTCCCTGGAGGTCCTACATGAGAGAAGAGGAAGAGGTGTAAGTTGCAGCAAACTCCTTTTTTATGAGCATGACACTGTTTGTTGGTGTGAAGTCAAGCAAAAATTCAAGAACACTTAGGCAATATCTATATAATCCCAATTCTAGAGGTTGAATTTACTGGATATTTAGTACATAGTTGTCATACATCTGACTTCCTTCCCACATCCCTTGAAAACATTGTGCCGTAAGTAAGTACTGGGATCAGTAGAAAACATTGTGCCGTAAAAGGAGGTTACTTACCTGTAAGTGGAGGTTCTCTAAGATGTGTGGTCCCTAACTGTATTCCATGGAGGGTTATGCATGTGCACCATGACCCTGGAGTTGAAGAATTTGAAAAGTAGTGCTCCTGATCCAAATGATAAAGAGAGGGGTGGACCAACTGTGTTTCTAGTTCCTTCTCCACCATGAATCCAGCAGATCCATAGGAGAGGGGGATGTGGAATACAGCTAAGGACCACACATCTTGAAGAACCTCAAGTTACATGTAACTGCCTCTTCTTCTTTGAGTAATGGTCATAGAATCATAGAATATCAGGGTTGGAAGGGACCCCAGAAGGTCATCTAGTCCAACCCCCTGCTCGAAGCAGGACCAATTCCCAGTTAAATCATCCCAGCCAGGGCTTTGTCAAGCCTGACCTTAAAAACCTCTAAGGAAGGAGATTCTACCACCTCCCTAGGTAACGCATTCCAGTGTTTCACCACCCTCATAGTGAAAAAGTTTTTCCTAATATCCAATCTAAACCTCCCCCACTGCAACTTGAGACCATTACTCCTCGTTCTGTCATCTGCTACCATTGAGAACAGTCTAGAGCCATCCTCTTTGGAACCCCCTTTCAGGTAGTTGAAAGCAGCTATCAAATCCCCCCTCATTCTTCTCTTCTGCAGACTAAACAATCCCAGCTCCCTCAGCCTCTCCTCATAAGTCATGTGTTCTAGACCCCTAATCATTTTTGTTGCCCTTCGCTGGACTCTCTCCAATTTATCCACATCCTTCTTGTAGTGTGGGGCCCAAAACTGGACACAGTACTCCAGATGAGGCCTCACCAATGTCGAATAGAGGGGAACGATCACGTCCCTCGATCTGCTCGCTATACCCCTACTTATACATCCCAAAATGCCATTGGCCTTCTTGGCAACAAGGGCACACTGCTGACTCATATCCAGCTTCTCGTCCACTGTCACCCCTAGGTCCTTTTCCGCAGAACTTCTGCCTAGCCATTCGACCCCTAGTCTGTAGCGGTGCATTGGATTCTTCCGTCCTAAGTGCAGGACCTTGCACTTATCCTTGTTGAACCTCATCAGATTTCTTTTGGCCCAATCCTCCAATTTGTCTAGGTCCTTCTGTATCCTATCCCTCCCCTCCAGCGTATCTACCACTCTTCCCAGTTTAGTATCATCCGCAAATTTGCTGAGAGTGCAATCTACACCATCCTCCAGATCATTTATGAAGATATTGAACAAAACCAGCCCCAGGACCGACCCCTGGGGCACTCAACTTGACACCGGCTGCCAACTAGACATGGAGCCATTGATAACTACCCGTTGAGCCCGACAATCTAGCCAGCTTTCTACCCATTGTATTCCACTGAGGGTAATGAACAAGCAGTTCATTATGGTGGACAAGGGTGTGAGGATGGAACAGTAGCATGAAGGACTGCCATACCAAAGGAGGAATCCACTGCTGATTATTGTACTAAGTCGTAATGCATAGCAAAGATATGTAGAGAACTCCACATGGCCACTCTACATATGTCAATGAGTGGCACATTCTGAAAGGAGACCGAGGTCAAAGCCTGAGCCCTTGTGGAGTGAGATTGTAACCCTACAGGGGGAGGTAGACCAGACAGCGGGTATAAGAGTTTGATACACCCCCGCAAATCCACTTGGAGATTCTCTGGGTGGAGATGGCCTGTCCCTTGAGTCTCTCTGCTATTGCAATAAATAGTCTATGGGACTTCCTGATTGGTTTAATTCTCTGCAGGTAGAAGTACAGAGCTCGTCGAACATGGAGGGAATGTAGTCAACATTCCGCTGCAGATGCATGTGGTTTCAGAAAGAAAACAGGTAAGTAAATGGCTTCATGGATGTGAAATTGAGAAACCACCTTTGGTAAGAACTTGGGGTGTAGTTGTAGAGAGACTTCATCTCTGTGGAAAGCTGTGAAAGGTGGGTCTGACATCATAGCACCGACTTCGCCAACTCTTCTCACGGAAGTGGTAGCAACATGGAAGGCAACTTTTATGGAAAGGAGGGACATAGAGCATGACTCTAAAGGTTCAAAGGGGGTCTTCATTAGTACAGAGAGAACAAGATTCAGGTCCCATTGAAGAGCTATCGGTTGGTGAGAAGGTTCTGATGGCAGTTAGTGGGTGTGTGAAGATAGAGAAACCTTCCACCAGAGGGTGGAATGTGCTAATCGCCACCAGGTGTACTTTCAAAGAATTGAAGGCGAAACCCAATGACTTTAGTGACAGAACATAGTCCAGTATGAGGGGGGGATCCCTCTGCACTGATTCTGGTAAATCACCTTTTTGTTGACCCCATGATGAAAAACATCACCACTAGTCCTGATAACAACATCTGTTGCAGTCCTTCCTGCTGCTAGAAAGGATGTTCTGTACAGCTGAAGAGCATGTTCATTCTAAGGCAGATACCCATCCAAATATCATGCTCTGAGGTGTACTGCATGTGGATTGGGAGGTCTGATCTTTCCTTTGCAATGGGTCAGCAAATCTTGACAATTGGGGATGGGAATTGGTGAGCAGATGACATGCGGAGAATATTGGGGAACCAGAATTTGTCTGGGCCAGCAGGAAGTGATCAGAATTACCATTGCTCTGTCTCACTGAATCTTGTGCAGGACTCAAGGTAGGAGCAGTAGTGGAGGAAAGGCATAGTTGGTCTGACCAAAGGAGCAGAAGGGTGTCATCCTGGGAATGGTGACTGAGGGCTCCCCTAGAACAGTACGTTGTGCATTTGCTGTTCACCTGGTTAGTGTCTTCCATGGAGTGAAGATGTTGTGTACTATTGAATCGTGAAGTTCCCACTCATGGTCAATCACAAAATGTCTGCTGAGTAAGCCTGTGAATACATTCTGTGTCCCATAAAGATAGGATGAAGACAAAGGATCTGGTGATTGATGCATCAGTTGCAGAGATTGATCACTTCTGCATACAGTGCAGATGATCTTGTCCCTCTGTTTGTTGATGTAAAAACCAGTGGTAGTGTTGTCTGACGTGATGAGACCACATGGGAGCAGATGAAGGGAAGGAAGGATTGGCATGCTCTTCTCACAGCTCAGAGCTCCAGGATGTTTATGTGCATCCTGGATTTCTGGAAGTCCATTTTCCTTGAGCCATCTGGTCACCGAAGTGAGTCCCCCAGCCCACCAGGGATGTGTCAGTGATAATCATCTTCTCTGGGGAGGCAGAAAGAAAGGGAACCTACACACATGTGGGTCTGTCCACCATTGGAGTGATAATAGCACTTTGGAGTGGCAGTTTGGAGAGTAAATAGACTGGAGCCATGTCTGGAGGCAGTGAAGATGGAGTTGTGCAAAGGAGGTCATGTAAGTACATGAAGCCATGTAGCCGAGGAGGGACAGGCAAGTCCTGGCTGGAACATATTGATTTGTTTATGTTGTGAGTTCTGTCCATTACCAGTGGACAGTTTCCAGGCAAGAAAGCTCATGCTGTGACCAAACTTACGATAGTCCAGAGACTGCATGGGGTTTAGGATCAATTTCTCTATGTTGACACTGACTCTGAGGGACAAAAGAAGGTTGAGTAACATGGGTTGGCACATGGGTTTATTGTCTGGACCTTGTGGCTAGGAGCCAATCATTGAGATATGGAAACATGAGGACACCATAATGTCTGACATAGGCTGCTAGGATGGAAAAAAAACTTTGGTGAAGACTCTGGGAGTGGTGGCTATCCCAAATGGGAGCACTCTGTACTGGAAATGGTGGGTACCCACTTCTCAGGAAGTGACTGTGGGCCAGATGAATATTGATGTGAAAGTAAGCATCCTTCATATCAAGATCCAGTGTGACCATACAAAAGTAGACCTTATGGATGAAGTGATTGAGGTGCCAGAGAGCAAGGATTGATCTTCACCCACCTTTCTTCAGAGCAGAATCCCATTCCCTGATATTTTGGGAGAATGTGTTCTACTGGTCCCTGTTGTAACAAGGAGTTAATCTCTTGGGAGAGAATGGTGTCATGAGAGTGGTCTCTGATGGGGTAGAGAAGTCTTGGAGGATTGTACAACCATGGTGGATGACGTTCAATACCTATCTGTCCATTGTTATTCATTTTAAGTGTGGGGAAATAGTGCTAAATGACCCCCAAAGGGAGTCGGAGGGTCATGAGATGGTAGGCACAGAGGTTGGCGGCTTTCAGGATGGTATCAGAAGTACCTCTTGGCTGGAGCTAATGTCAAAGCCTGCAAAGGGGGCCCTGGGAGGCAAGACCTCTGTGCCTTTTGACATTTTCTTGGAGGCTCATAAGGTCTCTGAGAGTAGAATTGAGGAGACCTATAGTGTTAAATAGGTGGTTGGTGGTGGAATTTTTGCTTCAGGGCAGGAGTATAGATGCCCAGAGATCAAAGGGTGGCCCTGGAATCCTTGAGCAGATGCAGCTATTCATCCATCTTCTGGTTAAAAAGATGGGATTCATTGAACGGAAGGTCTTCAATAGTGTTCTGTACCTCCCTAGGGAAACCAGAAGAATGGAACCAAGACTCCCCATGCATGACTATGGCCATAGCCAGGGGCCTGGAGGAGGTATCTGCTGCATCCACTGCCAATTGGAGGGCCATTCTGGCCACCAGCTTTCCTTCCTCAATAAGCGCCTCAAAAACAAGCCTAGCCACGTTGTGGCAGGCCATCAATAAATTCCTCTAATTTACTGTAATTCAGGAAGTCACATTTGCCTAGTAAAGCCTGATAATTTGCAATCCTGAATTGCAGGCTAGACAAAGAAAATACCTTGCTTCCCAAAAGGTCCAGATGCTTGCCCTCTTTATCAGCTGGCATAGATCAAGGGTGTTGTTTGGCCCATTCGGTCGCAGCCTGGACTAGGAAGTTCGGAGGATGATGAGAAAAAAGGAACTCAGAACCCTTAGAAGGAACATAATAGCACTTTTTGGCCCCTTTAGGGGTAGCTGTGCATGTGGCAGATGTGCGTCACACTGTCCTGGCAGGCTCCAGAATAGCTTTGTTAATTGGTAATGCAATTCTCGCCAGACCTGACGTGTGGAAGATATCTAGCAGCTTGTGTTGGGGTTTTGAATTTCTTCCAGAGGAATCTGGACTTCCCCTGGGACTCTCCGCAACAGGTCCTGAAATTGTCTAAAGTAATCCGGGGAGGAAGGGGATGCTGTAGTCACTGCCTCATCTGGAGATGAAGAGGGAAATCTTGCTGGTTTCAGTGGCATTGCTGGAAATGGAGTAAAGGGTTCCTTCTCTACCATCAGATTCAAACACCTGCCTGAAAGATCCCTTAAAAGGGAGGCAGACAAATGTTCCCCCATAGATCAGACAGGTTCCGAGGGGAGGTACTTGTGCCCAGTGTCCCCAGTATGCCCAATAGGGTGGGTCTGAGGGAGGTTGTGGGGGTCTCCATGGCATGGGGTACCAATGATTCTGAGGTGGTAGATGCTGCCATGGATGTGACAGTATCCAAGAAGGTGCATAGGAATGGTATGACACGGGTGGTTCTTCTCTGGGTTCTGATTCATTGGGAGAGGAGAAGGCAGACTCTGGTTCCAATGGCAGTACCGTCAGAGCTGGTGGAAAAGCATAGCATATCTGTGCAGAGGATGAGGGGTCCCGTACCGGAGGCATATCCCAGAGTGGAGATATGATCTCTCTAGAAGTGGAGGGACCCAATGGAGGGGGTGACTCTGGGTCCAGCAATGCAAACACATCTTGAGGTTTGGCCACAATTCTGGATCTCCCTGAAGTAAGAGGCACTCTCTTTTCTGGGTATCAGTGCTGGCGATGTGCTCTTTCCCAGAATCTTGTGGGCTGATTGTGCTGGTGGTATTGATGGATTGGTGCTCAGAACTGCTGGATCCCATTGCTTGTGGGTCTTTTTCTCATGTCTATGGGACTTAGGTTATGCTCTGTCCGCATGCCTTCAACTTGTGGAAACAGCATCCATCATCTTTGATTTGGAGGAAGACTTAGTCCCATGCTCACGGATGTGCTTCCTTACCTCCTGACTAGGCCTCGCCATTGGATCCATGGGGTGGTACTTCCAGCACTGGATTTAGACATGGTAGCGGGAAGCGCATTCCTTGCTGAGTCAGGCCGATGTACTGGGGGAGTTTCCTGGCATGGGTCTGAGTACAGTCTCATGGAGAGCTCCCTGATGTGCTGCTGGAGGCGAAGAGCCTGGCTTTCTCAGGTGTGGCTGGGGAAGGACTGGCAAATACTCTGCCTGGATGCAATGGGAGCTTCCCCCAGGCAGTAGAGGCAATGCTGGTGGCTGTTGCTGATCAAGAAGGAGTGCAGGCAGTAGGTGCAGCGTTTGAAGCCTAGACTCCTGGGCATAGTCCAGTACCTGCACATAGGGTAGGGGGTTGAAAATCCCCCAAAGTCTATTTAAAGTATTGACTAATAAAAACTACAATAAAAGTGGTAAAATTACTATAGTCTGATAAACTACGTACAACTATCCTTATCTGAAAGTTTGTCAGAGACAAAGACACTGAAAGTTCCAATCAGGACTGAGCGATGGTGAGAAGGAACTGGAGATGCGGTCAGTCCACCCTGTCCTTTATCGCCTTGGACGGAAGCACAAGGTGAGCCAGGTGCATGCGTGGACCAACAGATTCTACTTTTCAAATTTTCTGACTCTGGGTGCATGGTGTGCATGTGTAACCCTCAGTGGAATATCATAGGGACCATTATTGGAAGTACTGTTACAGCTGGGATCAGCAGACACACATAGGTAGGGTCCTACCAAATTCACAGTCCATTTTGATCAATTTCATAGCCAGAGGGTTTTAAAATTGGTCAGTTTCACTTTTTAAGCTGTTTACATCTGAAATTTCATGGTATAACTGTGGGGCTCCCAACCCAAAAGGTACTTGGAAGTGGGTCTGATCTCCTCTCCCCCCACCCCCCTGCCCCGAGCTGCCATGCAAGGGAAGGTCAAGTCCTGTCCCTCCCCAGGGACTTGCAGCTAGTGGTCACCTGGGCTGGGGTGCTTTGAGGGGCAGGGGGAGATCGGACCCACCTCCACAAGTCTCCAGCTGCAAGAACTTCCAATGCTGGGCAGGGAGCTTCCTGCAGCAGCGGGAGGCTCTCCAAGGTGGGTCTGATCTCCCCTGAGAGTGAGAGTGGCCATGCAGGGGAAGGACAAGTCCTGTCCGTTCCCAGCCCAGCCAGCACTTGCAGCTAAGAGCCCCCTGGCTAAGACACTTCCAGCAGCCAGGGGGAGATCAGATTTCACGGAGAAGGGCTTATTTCATGGTCCGTGACATGTTTTTCATGGCCGTGAAATTGGTAGGGCCCTACACATAGGTCTCTGCTGTTCATTATACTTCATCACCCAGAATTCAAATGGCCTTTTGTAGAAAAATCAATCATTTGTAATTTTCTCATCCTCTCAACCCTTTTATGCTCTTTTACACTGAATGCATTTAAATTGAATTTGCTACAGGAAATATAATTGTAAATGTATTTATAGTCAAATTGACACCATGCTGGAGAATAGCAGAATCACAGAAATTCTCATAACAATAGCTGTGTTTAATACAATCTCCTAAGAGATTACATGTGTGTAGGCATCCATGGAACAAATATTTTACTTACTAACCAACATTTCAACACAAAAATTGAAAATTAAATGTGAACATTCTGGGGAATTTTCACCTCTCTTTTCTGTTCAGTTCTAATTGCCACACAGTACAGTCTGAGAATAAATGGCAATGATATTTCTTTTTCTGAGGGCTTGTCTTCACTTAACATGCTACAGAGACACAGCTGCACCGCTGTACCACTTCAGTGTGGACATTACCTATGCTGACTGGAGGGATTCTCCCATTGGGATAGGTAATACCATGAGATGCGGTAGCTGGGTCGACAGAATTATTCTTCCGTTGACCTAGAGCTGTCTCCACAAGGGCTTAGGTTAGCATAACTGCATCACTCAGGGGTTTGAATTTTTCAAACCGCTGCCCAACGTAGTTAAACTGACTTAATTTTCAAGTGTGGACCAGGCCTGAGTACAAGAAACTCTACAGCATCTCTGTGATGCAACTATTAGCAAATGCTCACATTTAATGGAGACTATTGTTTGATAGCTATTTTTGTAAAGGGCCTATCAAATGGGTTTTTAAACTCTAAAAATATGCCATTCTTCACAAGGGAAATGCAAGACTTGCGTGCAGTTGTCAATTCCTGTGTGTCTGTGTCAGACACTTGTAAAAGTGTTTATTTAAATCCAGAGAACATCCTGTGAAAGTAACTAAATATCTGTAAAAAGAAAAAGAGTACTTGTGGCACCTTAGAGACTAACAAATTTATTTGAGCATAAGCTTTTGTGAGCTACAGCTCACTTCATCGAATGCATTCAGTGGAAAATACAGTGGGGAGATTTATATATAAATTTGTATATAAATCTCCCCACTGTATTTTCCACTGAATTCATCCAATGAAGTGAGCTGTAGCTCACAAAAGCTTATGCTCAAATAAATTTGTTAGTCTCTAAGGTGCCACAAGTACTCCTTTTCTTTTTGCGAATACAGACTAACACGGCTGCTATTCTGAAACCTGTCATTATGCAAGGCACTAAATATCTGTGTGGAAAGTCAAGAAGGATTATTAAAATAGAAAAAGCATGTAAAAAGTATGTAAAAATCTTCCATTGGAACACAGCCAAAATTCAGAAGACTTCCTTCTCACTTCTTAATGCAACAAAAACATTCAGACTAGGAGAAGGGACTCATTGAACATATCCTAAAGAAAGCTCATTTTTCCCTGTCAGCATGAGAAGCTAGAATATAATTAGACTGCAAAAGGACAAAAAGCCTTATGACATTTTTCCTATTTAAATTCAAGCAAGATGTGAACAAAGCAACTATATTATGAGGCTCAGGGAAGCCAAATTTTATAATATATGGCTCCCTGGTTCTGTAAATCATCTGCAAGGAAAAGATTTTCCTGTTTCCCCTCATTTTATATCTTGGTATTTCAAATATTTATCACTTTTCTTTTTAAAATATCCTAGTTAAACTGGTTAAATCAAAACACATGTACCTGCACGAGTAGCAAACATTCTCCCTGGAAGAATTTTTCCGGAGCCAAGGAATGTTAATGTTAGAGAGAATGCTGCAGTACAGTGCAATATTGAGTAAGGTTGCTAAGGATGTGGGAACCCAGAGAAGATGGGGGATTTTGTAAAACCATCAGACTTTCCGAAAAGACTGCATAAATTTCATAGCTTTCCCTCCTTTTTGTATTTTTTCTTTTAGAAACATTTAGATTCACCCCACTGGTGCAAGGCTATATACACATCTGGGGGCAACACCATCCCCACAGGAAGGTAAACTGTGTTTGCTATGAAGCTCTTCCCTGAGGATTCTGCAAAAGAGGCTGTAATAGAGGGTATTGTTCAAGGTGCCAGGGGGACATGAGTGCTGAAACAGTGCAACCTCCAGTTATCCTGGTCATATCTTCTTCTAACCAGCGTCATCCAGTTGGAAGGCTGTGCTGCAGGCCCCTGGAAGAGCAGAATTGGCAAGTGTTTTGCACCACCACAAGTTCCCTATGGATGAACTTTCTTCCAGTAGAGGCATTGCACCCTGGAATATACTGACTTGAGATTAGTACAGCACAGGGCTGAATCAAGCCCATTTACTGAACACAGCAAGTAGGAAAAAAATCTTTACATCGAGTAGTTTATACCTTTTGACAGTAAAAATATAAATATAAATTTCTTCAAATCTGCAGTCTGTTGAGTTGCAGGATGGGATTTTGTTGTGCTCTTTGGCCTTGTGTTTTCCCCTTTAGTGGCATTTCTACCTGATTGCAGGACATATATTTTCCTCTCTCTTTCTCTCTTCGTAATACTAGGGTTCGCTCTCTTTTCTCTCTTTTTGTATCTATCTTTCTATATCAGAGTTATATTTCTCTCTCTCTCACCCTCTCTCTAATCTTAGAGTATTTTCTCTTACTTTATCTGCCCTCACAGCCCTACATCTTTCTCTTTTTCAATTTCCAGCTCTCCACCCTAACCCTCTCTGTCTCTATATAACACTGGCTTCCATCACAGTCTGTGAATTTCTCCCTCTTCTGCAATCTTCTCAGCCTCTTTGCAGATAGAGCCATTAATTCTCAATGTCAGGTTCTCCTTCCCTTGAGCCATCCCAGAAACCCCCTGCCACAGAGGTAGGGACTATTTTCTGGCTGGCTGTTGCACATTGTTTTTCTCCCCCACCCAATTTCCTTTGTATAAATCTGTCTTCTGGAGTCTCATCAAAGGCATTCTGGTCTCGCATGACCCCAAAGACCACAAATAATTTTTGTTGGCTTGGGCCCTTAAGAAAAATTACAGAAGTGACGGTTACTTAGGATGTCAGCTGACTAACTCGACCCTTGGATCACCTTATACTGGAGATGAATAAATTGATACATAAAGTCAAATGATGCTTGTCATTTTAAGTATTTCTTGGAGTGCCTCTCTGTTGATGTCAGAGGTTCAGCAGCAATGAGATGGCATTTGGGTGGTAATGACCACAAGGCTTTCCTTTGCCTAGTGTTTAATGCATTATGGCTTTGGGGTCTCTAGTGTCTTCAGGATCTTATCAATAACATATATGCTTCAAAAATCTTTTATTTTTCTGCTTCGGCATTGGCAGGGTCTCTGTGTGGAATCTTGTTTACTTCCACTGGATAATGGCCTTCTTTTGGACCCAAGTCTGACTACTACTACTCTAGCTCAGAGTTATATTGCAGGCCACAGTATATTATTACCCATTATTTGTGTTGTGATAGCACCCCTGGGACTCAGCCAGGAACAAGACTCATTGTGCTACGTTCTTTTCAGGATTAGCTGTGGGTCAATTTTATTTTAGGGAAGGTTCCTGTGTAACACTGCAGCTTTGCATCCGTGCCTCTGCAGTTCTCCTGCCCCCCAACAAAATCATCACATTGTGGTTTCACATAATCAGCAAACAATGAAGGTCTACTTACCATCAGCACCCCAAAGTGTGTGAGGTGATTGCATAAGCAAACTGTCTCATTCTCGCTTGATTCTGCTTGTGCAATGCAGCCTGTGGAGTTCCAACCACCATTACCATCTACAGAAAACAAGCAATACAGACACTTACAACAACTGCAAACAAAACCCACAAAACCTCTCCACAATTTCTTTGGCAGGCTTCTAGAGCCCCTACATGAAATCTAGTGTACTTTCAAGTAGAAAAACCCCACTGAATACATCAAATCCAGTAATATGATATTTATCAATGCAGAATGAAGTATCGGATTTCCTAGAGTTTTTGCCAGTGAAGTACTCTTACAGAAGGGTAGATTAAGCAGATAGATTGCAGTGGATAGAAGAGCATCTAAGCAATCACCTGGGATAGACTCAAGAGGCTCAAGAGGTTTTGGAGCACTCTAAAATTTGTATTCTTACAGACTCCTGTTCCATGAACCTATCCAAGCTGGCTCTTTAGAGGAGGAGGAGCTGAAGGAAGAGGCAGCAGCAGGGTATAAAACCATTAATTTTTATCATTGCATAAGCAGATTTTTTCACTCTTCAGTGAGGTAGCATGTCAGCTAATGGCCTGTGTGTTCAACTCTGAACACACTCCAGTTTTCTGGATGCCCTGAGCTACTGACATACAGGCCATTGTCACTGGTGAAGCGGATGTTCAGCCTCTTTTCATATTGTTATTGTAATTTTCTCCCTTTCATGCCTTGTAACCAAGAGGAGTTTGTGGCTCATGATTAGCGATACAAGCTCACAGCTAGCTAGCTCCCATAGTTTTAAAATGAAGATATACACAATCTTTTCCAGATCAATCTTGAGAAAGGATCATTAAAAGGCTTCCCATGCTCCTGACTAGTTACTATTTGTGCAAGTGGGGAAAAAAAGTCAAAAGCTGATTGTCTTTAGATACAGACACTTTTGGAAGCCTTGGTATCCAGTGTTGAAGCCCATGCATATACAGTCCAGGCACAAAGCTTATTCGAATTGGGTGCAACATTCTATTTGCAGATTTCTACTATTGGCTGTCACAAGCAAAAAGTGTTACAAGCAAAGCAATTGCATCCCAGGCTTCACCAGTTTCTATTTACTATTTTGTACTGATAAGAAAGAAAAGGAAAAGACCTACATAACTGCATCTTTGGCACATAGAATCCATTTTAGCTGAATACAAAAACACTGTCTACCCAAGTGTCAAGTGTGTGATTGATTTAAAAACCAAGACATCTTTATTCCTCACATAAAATAATTGGCAAAATTTTTAAACTTACTGTTTTTGTTCATATCCCAGAAGACGCAGGTAGGATTAAGATCCTCCTAAACACATATATACAAATGAATATTTTTATCTATTAAAATATAAATTTGCTTAAAATATATGAACGTAGCAGGAGTTCCATTACTTAGGTTTTCACACAAAAGCTGAAGAGAAATATTATTGTTTTTTGGACTGTGGTAGTGTCTACAAATTCCAGTCAGGGATCAGGACCCCACTATATTAAAAAGACAGTCCTGCCCTAAATCCGGCCCTGATCCCGTAAAGAGTTATACACGTGCTTAACCTTATGCATGGTAAGAAATCTCATTGAAGTCAAGCATGTGTATGAAGTCTTTGCAAGGTCAGGGCCTAAGTAGAGTTCTTTTGCTTGTTCGCGTCCTTTGGGGTCTCTCAAGGGACTCTCCAGGTAACTGGCATCCAATGGTGGGTAAAAATCGAAGGGAATAATTTACTGAATCCACTTAGAGGCCATCTAGTGTGACCTGGAAGTGGATTTCATAATAAGCAGCTAAAATCTAAGCTAACTGAAATATGAAATATTATTTCCTCTTTCCCTTCCCCAAGGTCAATGGTCCTGATTCTCCTCACCTAAAGAGTCTGACACCAGTGTGACTCTATTGCCTCCGGTGGAGTTTCTCTTGGTTTACAGCAGCATAACTGAGAGCCAAATGAGACCCACATGGGGATTTTTTTTAAACTGATAAATAAAACAAGACAAAAGACTGGTTTTTCTGGGCTCTCCTTTCCCATCAGTAATATTGGTCACTTTGTAACGGTCCTTTGGTTTTTTGCACAAAATGAAGAAATAACAAAATTCCTTGAGGTACAATTAATAAAATGGTCCATGTCTGGTCACAGACTCCACATCAACCTGAAGTTCCCTTGAACAATAAATATTGACACAAATTATGAGTCCATCTGATTAAGTATCAAGTATTATCAGCATGGAAACGGCAGCAGGACAGGTTGAATTACCTACATTTTAGATGATTATTAAACTCTGGATTGGTTGTGTGTTTGTTAACAAATGTGAAGTTTTCCACTCTACTGGAATCTTTCCCCAAACCCAACAAAACCAACGATAATCTTTCTACCATTGATTCTACCACTGCCAGATACAATTTGCACTTTTTTACCTCTGCTTACACCAGTTTTTTCTTACCTGGAATAGGGTATGTTTAATTGTAATTTTGACAGCATCCTGAAGGTCCCGGATGGTAACATTTCCAATACTGCATGCCACTACAAAACTGGTTAAATTGGCATTCATTTCTGCATCCTTTAAAGGATTGAAAAATGCAATAAATATTATCAGAGCACCAAATACACTAGCCAGAGAAAATTAGTTTATTTTTGCAGTGTGCCAGAATAAACAAACTGTCAGCACTTCTATACTTAAGACCACCCATAAGAACATCCTGTTTATAAGCTCAAATTACAGCTTTTCCTTTGCTATTTCCTTTATTATCATAAACATATACAAGCACATAACTGAGGGCAGATTGTAAGGCAATTTCCATAAAATTTCTCTCTTAAATCACTTTGTTTGATGCCAACTACCGTTATACCTCAAACACTGCTAACTGATAACCAGCTGTGATATAATTAGATCATTTCCCGAACCAAGAGTGAACTGGAGCTTTTTTATCATATTGACAAAACAGCCTCTGGGAGCATGAGGTGGATACTTTTTTTTTTTTTTTTTGGCATTACCTATAATATTAACATGATCTATTCACCACCTGCAGCATTATATACTACCTGACAGCAAGTGGCCATGAGGCGACACAAGATGTGAAAAAAAAAAGTTCTAAGTGACACAATATAGTAAGAGACAATATTTCTAACACAGTCCTATTTGGCAGTAATTTCAACTGGAGACTGGCTTTATTACTGCCACAGTGCTATTCCTAACCTGCTCTGAGAAGGCATAGAGAGATGAGCCACATTTTTACAAATCTATTTATGTTCACACAGCAAAAGATATCTGGCTGGTGAATTTTGCCCATATGCTCAGGGTTCAGCTCATTGCCATATTTGGGGTTGGGAAGGAATTTTCCTCCAGGGCAGACTGGAAGAGGCCCTGGAGGTTTTTCGCCTTCCTCTGCAGCATGGGGAACAGGTCACTTGCTGGAGGATTCTCTGCTCCTTGAAGTCTTTAAACCACGATTTGAGGACTTCAACAGCTCAGACATAGGTGAGAGGTTTTTCCGCAGGAGTGGGTGGGTGAGATTCTGTGGAGTGGGTGGGTGAGATTCTGTGGCCTGCGTTGTGCAGGAGGTCGGACTAGATGATCTTAATAGTCCCTTCTGACCTTAATATCTATGAACCTATAAGTCTACCCTCTTAATTTTTAGTGTCTGATTCAAAGCCTAATGAAGCTTGTGGAATGACTCCCACTGATTTCAGTGGGCTTTGGATCAGCCACTTAGTGAACAAATTGGAGGCTAGACTTCAAAAGGCCATTTGATGCCTGGTTCCCACACTTTGTTAAGAGGGGATAGGAGACATTTGTAAATTAAAATAAAATACAATTAATATTTCTTCTTATGATGTTAGTTTGGACTGAATTAAGGTTGGGGAAAAGTTTTTAGACAGGAGAATATAAGAAGTATAAAAATGAAGGGATTGTGTGGCTGGAACTATTATAGGGATCTGAGAGGAAATGTTGAATATTTATATAGCTATTCAATACAATTCATATAGACTGTACCATTTTAAAATACTATCTTCAGAGGCTCAAAATAGAGTCTTTTAAAATCAAGTTTTCATATAAACTTTAACAAACAAGATAATTATAGTAGAGTGTAATGTAATAGCACCAATTAGCATTCTCTCAAATAGAGACATGGCATAGCCAACACCAGTGGAGATTATTTTAAAGTTTTGAACTGTGCATTTATTACATATATTTACACTAACAGAAGAAAGTGCTTCATGCACCAAACAATAAATTTCTGTTGATTGAGATGTTCTGCAGATTATTTTATATTGTAGTTTATTTGAATAGGAAATGACCATTATTTAATTGTCTTCATAATCAGAATCCAATATAAACTACTGTAGCTGAAATGATCAAGCAGCATTGAGTGCTCTTTGGAAGCGTCTTCTTGAAGAGGCATTTGACTATCTTTCGATAGCACAAGCACTGATGTTGTTTGTTTAAACGTGCTTTGAGATCTAGAGATGAAAAGCCCTATACAAGAACAAGGTGGTCTTTTTATTAATATAGTATCAGTATAATATTAGTACTCCAAGGAAAGATGGGAATGTTAGTCTGGATTAGGATGACATTTTGAAATGAGAATTTTCCCTTCTTCATGCATCCATCTAGCCATCTCCAGAAAGAAACCCTCCTCTTCCTCTTCTAGTACTCCCTTCTTACAGAATGGCAAATAACTCTCCACACATGATTTGTCTAGGGAATTTAGTCTCTTGTGTTTAGGAATATCTGTGAACACATTATGATTTCCTCAAACATTTTTAATGGCTCAAAAATATTTAACATAGGTTTTTGACAATTAAAAAAAAAATTCTGGATGGCTTGTCAAGAGTTCTCAGTGAGTATTCACTGTTTGTCCTGCATCGGTGAAGAGGTCAGAGCTCCTTATAGGATTGAAATCTTGGCTACTTGTGATTGGTCACAAGTTACTGTTTCTATTTTATGGTCTGATGAATGCATAAATGCTCACATGTGCAAATTGAAAGTATGGTTTTTGCACATGCTCACTTTCTCAAACGTCTGACTGAGCACACCTAGACTGCCTAAATGAATGGTTTAAAAAAGTAAACTATTCCTGAAAAAATTGCTTGCAGTATTAGTGCGGCTTTACGTTTTTATTGTCTTCCTATCAAATATATCTTTCTTATTGACATTCACATTCTCGTACCACTCAGGAACATACGCAAGGAAATCAGACAGATCAACCAAATACTAATCTGGCGTCAGGCATGTCATTTGTCTTTTGAGAGGGTATCATTAATTGTAATTTATAATCATTATGGTTGAACTTTGCCCCTTAATATAAAATATGAAGAAATCATGATTAGTCAGGACTAATCATGATGGAGCTTCTGAAGACCAAGCTTAGTGCTATTTATTAAGATAGAATGTTTTATCATTATAGGGATTTTGTGTCGTTATGACAAAACCTACTGTTGTATGCTTCTGTTTTCTTGACTCACTGGAATCATCCTGGTTTTCAATAAAAATGAATTTTAAAAATGAAAACTGTTTAAAACAACTGCAGATACTGCAGGGTGTATTTCAGAAGGCAACTATGGGTCACATGTATTTTGCTAGCCTGGATTATCTCAAGTATCTCAAAACAGTGCCAATAAAAATAATAATATACACACAACACAATACCACAGAGTCCTGCGGATGCACAAGAGCCAAAGGTCATTTGAAATACTAATTCAAGGGAAAATGAACTCAAGCCAAAAACACTGTTCATTATGAAAACTATGTTTTCTTCTGAATGAATACAATATCTTTCGAATGTACACTGATTTTTTCAATTGTGAAGATCTTCCTTACTTGTTGGTGCATGAGGACCTGGTAAGTGATTATCACATGATCAGACTTAATGAAGAAAAAAAATACCTAGAGCCCCTCAGTTCTCTGATCTCAATATCACTAACCTTATTGAGTAACCATTTCCCCTCAGAAAACCCGTATATAAGGTGTAAACACACTGCATGGGGATTGAGAATGCATATCTGTGATGGTCAACAGTAAAGTTAACGTGCTCTCTTATCGGTGGAATTAACCCCTGTGCAAAGTACCAGCACAAAGGTATCAGTGGGATTTAACTGGTACATACGCCTTGTGCTGATCTTCTGCACACGGGTAAATTTCACTCTGTGTGATCACTTAAAAAAAAAAAGGAAGAGAAATAATTTTAGCAGAAATAATTTTAGGCTCAATTCCAAGCTGGTGTAAAACAGCGTGGCTCAACTGAACACAGTGGAGCTATGTCAATCTATGCCTATGGCCACTTGGATATCAATTCCTTCTAGACTATTATGAGCAGAAGTTTGTGTGATACGGAAGGAAACTTTCCTTAGAATTGCAGTAAGATCTCTGACGTAATGTATAACCTAACTACTAAATACTGGCAAGCCAGTCATTATTAATATGCAATACTTATTCCTAATGCCTACCTCTACTACTACCATGTAATTTCTATAACTCATGAGATATTGCAAAATGATTATACTTTGGCAGGCTCACTTGCTTCAGTCCAGGTGAAATTGGTTCAAGCATATTTTCACTTGCCTGGAAAAGTCCATTTTTGTTGAAGAATGTAAACTGAGCTCTAGATACAGCTTCAAACTCATCTTGACTTAAATTCTTCAGTAAACTTGAGGGCAGAACAACAGAAGCCAGGGCATTTCCCTGATTCTTGTCAAAATCTAACTGTTTTATAAAAAGAGGAAAGAGCAGATTAGACCAAAAATGAAATCAAGCAAGGTCCACTGAATCCGTGCAAACTCCCCGCAATATTGTCAAATGTGATTTGAACATAAGACTACAATAACCATTAACATAAATATGGCATGGAGCTAGATGAGGATTGAAACAGTCCAAAATAATGTTCTGGTATGTTTTTACATCTTCCTTGTGGGAGTCCAGGCTTGAGACATATTATTATTTGTATTACTGTAGCACCTAGGAGCCCAATCATGGACCAGGGCTCCAATGTGTGAGGTGCTGTACAAACACAGAACAAAAAGACAGGCCCTGTGCCCAAATAGCTTCAAGAAGTAGACAAAGGTAATCTCCAGCTGCTGTATTGATCCCTGGGGGCCCAGATCAGTGACAGTAATTTACAGCACCCTTCATGTTACTCTCACTTATACCCAGGAGAACAACCAAGCAGTAAGGGAGCACACTGACCAACTTCGCCTTCGCCTTTATGAGGAATGCTTTGTACTCCTTGGCCATTGTTGCAGAGCTGGGCCATTGTTTCAGGGACACAACACTGCTTCAGTTTACACTTAATTTATGTTTTGAGTGTATCTTCACTAGAAAATGTCCCACTTTCTAGCAGCAGTGTGGCTGCACTAGTGCTAGAGGCAATGTGAGCACCAGTGTGGGCAGGGCTCAGGCATTTTAACTATAGAATCATGCAAATTAACGGTGGCTACTATCCACATTAACTCTTACAGTGCTGAAAGCACCAGTGCACTTACCCCTTTGCTGGGGAAAAGAGTACAGGATTTCCAGTATAAACAAAGCCTTAGAATATTTTCTAAGGGCTAGAAATATTTGTCTTTATAAAATGAAAGCTTTAACCTGGAGCACAATTCTATATTAAGGGGTTGATCTGTGGCAAACTCTACCAAATCACAGAATACATGGGCCCTGGCTATATTTAACTTGTCTTAAGAGACATTTTTAGCCGTTTTACGTTAATAAACAACATTGGAATAAATGAGTGCTAATGGACTTTCCCCCCAGTTTTTTGTTAAGATTGTCTTGCGGTGACTTTTTGATACACATGTAAATTGCTAGAAGGTGGATTTTTAGTTGACCATATTTAAATGTGTAATTTCCCCATGAGACCAACAAATGTTTCCACTTAGCAGCTTCTACATAACTCATATTCAAAATTAGTGAGTAAACGACATGTTTCCTTCTGGAATTCTGTTTATACTGACTAATGCAGTAACAATAGTGTTAGATTAATGTTGTTGTTTGTCATTTAGAAAAGATTTAATTCTCTCCCTTTTGAATTCTGTAATAGCTTATCAGCATGTCCAGTTTCCGTGTGAAACAATCTGGGGAAGAAAAAAACAAAGATTTTTTTTAAATTATATTTAGGGTCACCAACTAGATATGGCAAAAATGAGAAACTCCCTAGAGTCAGAATAAGGATAGACTACACAGGAATGTGTCAAACAGCTAGAAGTCTGTCAATCAATCCATCAGTCCATGCAATCAGGTCCTTATTTTGACAGTCAGCACTGTCATATATCTGAGAGCCTCCTCTTTTCCTGCAGCTACAATGGAAGAGACAAGAGACTTACAACTTTCTGAACAAGACACTGAATTTAACAGACAAGTAGACATGGGAACATCAGTGTTGAAATTTTGTATGAGTGCCTATGAATATAAACACATATTACACTAGTTTACAAATTCATATTAGTGGGTAACAGAGCCATTAACAGGGACTGAAAAGGTCAAAAGCGCTATGGTTGATATTTAAGGCCCAGAAGACTTGACCTTGGTGAAAGAACTTTTGTAAACAAAAGAAATTATACTGTCATTGGTTAAACCTCTATATTATTTCTTCAGGAACGTTCTTTCAAGTACCATCTTTCAAGTTCTTGAGTACCATCTGGAACTATGGCACAAGGGATTTTGGAACCTACAATACTTCATTGTGTCTGGTAACATTATCTATAAAAGCCCATCTCTAAACAGGAAAATAGAACTGGCCAACAGAAAAAGATATATTCATAAATACTCTTGTGAATGACACACTGGTATTTGCAACCCTTATTATATGCTTACTGTAAACATTTGAAAGAATGAATATTTATTGACAAGAATGCTCATGGACATTAAAAATACTAGAGCAAAAAATGTGTGAATGTATTACAGTTTCTGCAGCCATTTTGGAAAGCACTTATTATTCCCACACTTGATTTGAATAATTATCAGTAGTTCACAGATAATATAGGATCATTAAAGGGGACTCCCAGTGTGTATAAGCTTACGTCAACCAATCATGTGACACAAGTGATAACTCAGAGGGTACAAATAGCAACCAAGACATAGGCTACAAGGCCTGTTCACACAAACTGTTTATCAAGCATTTGTGAAGAACACATGCATTTGTAAAAATCACAGCTGTTTATGGATAATACCTGACAGACAGACAGGACACAGAGCCAAATTCATCTGGTAAGTTGTCCTCAAAGAAAAAATTGGCTAAGGCTAGTAGAAACTCTGCATCTACTAGAGATGTCTTATTAGGTTCAGTGAAGAGAATGGAAGAGGTTTCTCTAAAAATAGGCATATATTACAGGAACAATTTAACAAAATGAATTCCCAAATGCTAACAGTCAAAGATTTGGCAAGAACTGTAAGGATACTTGACTAAAGTACAATTTCTTCAAGCTGCTGTGGATAGATTTGCTTGATATCCATCTTAAGAGGAAAAAAATAAAACAACATTTAGAAGCTGTCTGAAATATAGCTTGAGGTTTTTAAGATTCCCTAAAGATCATCACAATATTTGGTAGAAGTTCTTGACCTTGTGAAAGAGAATTTCCATCTAGAGAGGAGAGAAAAATTCTTGCCTAATAAACATGGAAATATAAACTGTGACCACAGATGTTGAGGAAATTTTTGATGGGGAAGGGGCTAAGAATTCTCAACAAGCTGTTGGAAGTGTAAAAGCCTGAAAACCAACTCAGTGTTCCAATAGGAACATTATTAATTAACTTGTCTTTTCTTATGGCACAATCTGGATTTCATCATTATTTAAACAGTCCTGTAATAAATTATTCCAGGGCAAGAAAATTCTAATATTCCTGGATGTCCTCATGCCACAGATGATATTTTTTATTATACATGCAGGACATCCCAGATCTAAATGTAGAATTTTTCCTTTCATCTCTCCATAAATGCAAGGTGAAAACTGAATGATAATTGTTCCTTTTTTTATAACACTCAGCAATCAAGCTTTATTAATAACATAACTTCCTCATCCATTTCCACTAAATTTGATTTGGAGAAAAATGGGTGAAATTCTGTGAGTGAAAATGAATGAAACTCCATTAAGGTAAATGTCACAAGGCCTATTTACACCTGCAGAGAATTTGATCCTTTGAATTTTATGTCCAGAAGATAATATGAACCATATTTTAAAATACTATAATATTTTATGATACTGTTATGAATGTACATCGTGCCATAAATTTGCATGTTACTTACAGAAATGACAAGTTATTTAATAGCAAGTTTACACCAACAGAGAATTTAGTTTCTCATGCATATTACAGCAATATTATTCTGTTACACTATACTGTAATGATCTGCATTAGCTGTTAGCACAACTTCATGTTTAAATTATGAAATTAGCTCCTCAGGTCTGATTATTTGTTTATAATAGAAATATTTTTATTGTGGTTTTTTTTTAACCCTCACCTACCTTCACCTACACTGCAGGCTTAAACAGAGACTATGTGTTTGGCATGTGGTCAAGTGGGAGAGCCATGACAGTTCATGGTTAGGGCACTAAGGAACTCAGGATCAATTCTCTGCTCTGCCACAGGCTCCCTGTGTGATCTTAGTCAAGTCACATGAGGCCAGATTTTTACATATATTTATGTGCCTAAAGAAGCAGACAGGTGCCTGGCAGGATTTAATGGGAATGAGGTACATAGGGGCTTTTGAAAATCCCACTAGTTGCCTATCTTCATTTTTAGGCACCTAAATACCATTAAAAATCTGGCCTCTAGTCTCTCTGTACCTCAGTTCCCTATCTGTAACAAAATGGGAATAGCACTTTATAGCTCACAGGGATGTTGTGAGGAAAAAGATATTTAACAACTTGAAGCCAAAATCAAAGAGCTGGTGAACATTTATCTCCTGCTGGAGTCAATGGAAGATGCAGGTGCACAGCAGAACTCGGGGTTTGGCTCATAATAAGCAGAATTATTAAAAAACTGTTGGAGGTTTCCATATTGATCCATGAAAGCTTGTACCACAACACCGATGAAGTCCTTCATGCACATTCTACCTTGGATTTACTGTTCAGGAGGACTGAGTGCAGACACCTGCTTAGGAAACTTTAAAATTACATCGCTGAGTACATGTAGATTTGAGAGGTAAAAATATACAATCCATCTCTATGCCTGAGATGAAAACACCCATATTTCATTATTTTTCATGGGTGACACTAAGATACACTAAGTTCAATCAACTTCTTTTGGTCATCTTTAAGAAGAATTTTAGATACAATAGTGACACATTATTGTAAGTCTGAAATTCACCATTTTTTGCTCACTTGGAAGTGTGTAATAAAGCAGGTGGGGCATTTTGTTGATATAGTGAAATTGCCCTGGGTTTAACTCTTGCTACGTATTTCGTAGGAACTTCTGGTCATCAGCAAAACGATGTATGAAATCAACAATATTATTTTTGTAGGCAGAGATACCAACATCATCAGCTGTTTTTACATCAGTAAAGCAACACTCAACCCAAGAAACATCATCAGTTATTTGTAAAAGGTAGTTATAAGTGACAATCATATGGGGCTATTAAATAATGTGTATTGGCTAACACATTGCCAAAGTCTAATTCAGGAGACGGGAAGATTAATAGAGGATATTTTCCCTCCTCATTTTTCCAAGTAGATGAAAAAATTGAGCTAGTTTGGAATATGTCAGCAAAACATTTAAATTTGTAACAGTCACAATTTGGTCTGGAGTTCCTATAACCCATGGAAGTACTAAATTAAACTATTTGAAAGAATGCGGGAGAAAAGGTAATCAATACTCCCAACTGGGTTCAGTGCTACTGTATCATACCTAATAAGTAATAATTCTTAACATCAGACATATTTTGGGTTCCAGTGTAAATGTCTGTTCTGTACCTGAAAATCTGAAGCATTGTTCTGGGGACCAACACTGAAGGAGGATCCACTAAATGAAGTTGAATTAATAGAAGAAACTCCAAGTGCCAAGTTCCGAGTTGAGATGCTCATGGATGGTCCAGTGAACTGAATCTTTAAGGCTAAGGTATCAATAGTTTTTAAAGCTCTAAAAACAAAGAAAATTAAAAACAAAAATGTTGTTTTTATATATCTATATCTATCTATATACATATAAACAAAACAGAAGAGATGAGAAGAAAGAAAAATAATGATGAAACCAGTAATACAGCATCAGGAAAGAAAATGAGTCTTGTGAGCTTTGAGTCCATTTCTGACACTAATTTTTGTTAACCCAACAGGAGATTTGATAGATTGATCTCTCTGGGCCAGATCCTCAAATGACGTAAATCAATATAGGTATTGAAACCAGTGTATTTATGCTGATTTGCACTAAGGAAGGATCTGTCTGTCTGACATTCCAATAATATTTAAATTCATATTACAGTTTCATTTCTTATATCAAAATAGTTAACTTTTTGTCAAGCCTATTAATTTGAGACTTGATATACGTCTCTTGGAAAAATATCTTATCAGTCATCTCACCTGGAAAAATGTCTTTCAAGGGACTTAATCAAAAGTCTAAGGTAGGTTGCTGTATCTTGTGTATCTCTATTTAGCAAGCTTGAGGTTTTTATGATCCCATACCCCAACAGGTAGTAAAACACTTTCTCAACCTCCTCCCTCAAATTCAGAAACACTTACTCAGAAGATGATGCTGCCAAAACACTGTCTGAACTTGTTAAAATATTGGAAAAAATTGTCACCACAGTAGAACCCAAAGACTCATCAATTTCTTCATCATTCACAATTTTTTTAAGCTTCTGCACAACATCATTGACTTTGTCTGAGGTCAGCTGCTGCCCTTCACCAGTGAGGTTCAGAAGTTGATTGGCTATATCAGCTGCATTTTCTGTGAGAACATAGGTAAAAGGGAGCACAAGGAGAAAGGGATACATGTGAAGAGATATTCTTGCTTGTTGATTTACAATGCATTCAGTGCTAACTGAACAAACATAATAATTAATCAACATAAAGTATATAGGATGGGCTGAACTTATATAATGTACTTCTCTGTTTCCTCTTTCTTTTACTAATTTCATCTGGGTTTATCCTCATTTAAAGTAGGAAAAGATTAGAATGGATGAATGAAAGAAGAAAAGAGGGGGAAAAGAAAGAAGATAAGCATATTTCCTTTTCCCTTCCCTTCTCTCCTTTCCTGCCCTTATCTTATACTGTCTTTCTCTTTGGGAAAACCAAATTCTCCTTCATCCCTGAGACCAAACAGTGGGTCTCCTGATGTCCCAGTTCCAGGAGAAATTTAACTCCTTTTTGGGTTCAGAAAGTGAAATCCTGACCCTACTGAAGTCAATTGGAATTTTTCTATTGAGTTCATTTCACCCAGAGCCTATGCGTGAATGGCATGACAAGTAAATCTCATATAAGGGCTTTTTCTGACAAGATTGGGTGTTTAATATAGTGGCAATGTGGGCCACACCCAAATAGTGGTGTAAATTAGACTTGGGGCATCAGTTGGTCAGAAAATCAGTACAAAAGGTCAAGCCATGTAATCTGAAAAAAAATTGGCACTCTGTGAGTGTGCACAAAAACGTATTTTACAGGCTAAGGAGGTAGAGTGATGAATGTAGGAGAAAAAACTATAAACAAATCACTTTATCTACACTCACACATTTGTTATTTTTCCTGATATACAACCACTGTTGCCCTGTTGGCTAACATTACATTCATTTTACACCCGAGTGCCTGATTCTGCACTGCCTTATCCCTTATATGGTCACTTACACCCATGCAAAATAAGTTCAAACTGGCTTTAAAATGCTACCAAATAAGAATTCTACACTCCTATGTTCCAGTGACTGTATCCACTTTGCACTGGTGTACACAAAGAACATGACTCCAATTTACACTAAGGCCCTTTACATTACTCTGGCAGTGTAAAAAGGCCATAAAATGGGTATACATGTATCATAGAATCATAGAATCATAGAATATAAGGGTTGGAAGGGACCCCAGAAGGTCATCTAGTCCAACCCCCTGCTCGAAGCAGGACCAATTCCCAGTTAAATCATCCCAGCCAGGGCTTTGTCAAGCCTGACCTTAAAAACCTCTAAGGAAGGAGATTCTACCACCTCCCTAGGTAACGCATTCCAGTGTTTCACCACCCTCTTAGTGAAAAAGTTTTTCCTAATATCCAATCTAAACCTCCCCCACTGCAGCTTGAGACCATTACTCCTCGTTCTGTCATCTGATACCATTGAGAACAGTCTAGAGCCATCCTCTTTGGAACCCCCTTTCAGGTAGTTGAAAGCAGCTATCAAATCCCCCCCTCATTCTTCTCTTCTGCAGGCTAAACAATCCCAGCTCCCTCAGCCTCTCCTCATAACTCATGTGTTCCAGACCCCTAATCATTTTTGTTGCCCTTCGCTGGACTCTCTCCAATTTATCCACATCCTTCTTGAAGTGTGGGGCCCAAAACTGGACACAGTACTCCAGATGAGGCCTCACCAATGTCGAATAGAGGGGAACGATCACGTCCCTCGATCTGCTCGCTATGCCCCTACTTATACATCCCAAAATGCCATTGGCCTTCTTGGCAACAAGGGCATACTGCTGACTCATATCCAGCTTCTCGTCCACTGTCACCCCTAGGTCCTTTTCCGCAGAACTGCTGCCTAGCCATTCGGTCCCTAGTCTGTAGCTGTGCATTGGGTTCTTCCGTCCTAAGTGCAGGACCCTGCACTTATCCTTATTGAACCTCATCAGATTTCCTTTGGCCCAATCCTCCAATTTGTCTAGGTCCTTCTGTATCCTATCCCTCCCCTCCAGCGTATCTACCACTCCTCCCAGTTTAGTATCATCCGCAAATTTGCTGAGAGTGCAATCCACACCATCCTCCAGATCATTTATGAAGATATTGAACAAAACCGGCCCCAGGACCGACCCTTGGGGCACTCCACTTGATACCGGCTGCCAACTAGACATGGAGCCATTGATAACTACCCGTTGAGCCCGACAATCTAGCCAGCTTTCTACCCACCTTGTAGTGCATTCATCCAGCCCATACTTCCTTAACTTGCTGACAAGAATACTGTGGGAGACCGTGTCAAAAGCTTTGCTAAAGTCAAGAAACAATACATCCACTGCTTTCCCTTCATCCACAGAACCAGTAATCTCATCATAGAAGGCGATTAGATTAGTCAGGCATGACCTTCCCTTGGTGAATCCATGCTGGCTGTTCCTGATCACTTTCCTCTCATGCAAGTGCTTCAGGATTGATTCTTTGAGGACCTGCTCCATGATTTTTCCAGGGACTGAAGTGAGGCTGACTGGCCTGTAGTTCCCAGGATCCTCCTTCTTCCCTTTTTTAAAGATTGGCACTACATTAGCCTTTTTCCAGTCATCCGGGACTTCCCCGGTTCGCCACGAGTTTTCAAAGATAATGGCCAATGGCTCTGCAATCACAGCCGCCAGTTCCTTCAGCACTCTCGGATGCAACTCGTCCGGCCCCATGGACTTGTGCACGTCCAGCTTTTCTAAATAGTCCCTAACCACCTCTATCTCCACAGAGGGCTGTCCATCTCTTCCCCATTTTGTGATGCCCAGCGTAGCAGTCTGGGAGCTAACCTTGTTAGTGAAAACAGAGGCAAAACAAGCATTGAGTACATTAGCTTTTTCCACATCCTCTGTCACTAGTTTGCCTCCCTCATTCAGTAAGGGGCCCACACATTCCTTGGCTTTCTTCTTGTTGCCAACATACCTGAAGAAACCCTTCTTGTTACTCTTGACATCTCTGGCTAGCTGCAGCTCCAGGTGCGATTTGGCCCTCCTGATAACATTCCTACATGCCCGAGCAATATTTTTATACTCTTCCCTGGTCATATGTCCAACCTTCCACTTCTTGTAAGCTTCTTTTTTATGTTTAAGATCCGCTAAGATTTCACCATTAAGCCAAGCTGGTCGCCTGCCATGTAATTTATTCCCACTTTACAACCAGTGTGATATAAAGCTGTCTTTGTGTAAATGAGAATAAGGCTCCAGGAGTCCAATCCAAAGTCCCCTGGAATCCTTTCTATTGACTTCAATGGCTTTGAATCAGGGCCCAGGTACAAAACATTTGAAAATCAGACTGGAACAGACTGTCAATTTGATGCAAATTAACACCTGCCCCCAGTCTAGGCATAAAAAATTTAATTCATGGCACCGAATTTGATCCAGAGACTGTCATGGATAGGCTGGATTCAATTTGTTGTTTTCTCATAGATTTTAAATATTTGCTTTGATTTTTTTAAAAAAATATTGAAATAATTTAGTATGAGTGAGGGAGACATGGTGGCATAGGGTGGAGAAACCAAACACCACAAGAATGCTCCACAGTATTTTCCCCAGGCATTGAAATTAGGGGTGTGTGTTAGAATTTACAGGGGAATGAGACCGTGAGAGCGAAGATGGGCTGTATGTCACCACAGTAAAAACTGAAAAATGTTTCAAGACCCTTTTATTACTTTAACTCCTGTTTTAATATCATCACATATATTAAAGTCGGCTACTCAGGCCTTCAGTGAAGCACTATATCTACATCCTTTTTGGTTTCTTGTAATTTTGCACAACTCTGTTAATGAACTTCTTGAATGAAGTGCGCTCCTCTATCGTGCCTTCTTGTGTGTACGGTACTTCCAGTCCTTCGGTTGCTATGCTCATTAGTTCATTCACATGATGATGCAGAAGTCGACGTCTTTCAAAGCACAAAATTCTATTCATTGATGAAAAAGAATGCCCAACTGGAGCTGTTGTGAGTAGGGGTAGCAAGAGATGAATTCCTACTTCTTTCATCCCAGGAAACATAGCACAAAGATCAGGTTAACCTACTAGTGATGATAAAAAAGAAGCTGAAGCGAAATCTTCATTCATTCGTCATATGACATTCCACTCTGTATTCAAATTCTCTATCACATCACAGCCCAATTGCTTATTGAATTTCATCCTATTTCCTTCAGACCATTTCTCCAGTTTGTCCAGATCATTTTGAATTTTAATCCTATCCTCCAAAGCACTTGCAACCCCTTCCAAGATGGAATCATCCACAACTTGATAAGTGTACTCTCGATGCCGTCATCTAAATCATTGATGAAGATATTGACCCAGAGCCAATCCCTACGGGACCTAACTCAATATGCCCTTCCAGCTTGACAGTGAACCTCTGATAACTACTCTCAGGGAACAGTTTTCCAACCAGTTATGCACCCACCTTATAGTAGCTCCAAGTTGTATTTCCCTAGTTGGCTTATTAGAAGGTTATTTGAGACAGTATCAAAAGCCTTACTAAAGGCAAGATATACCACATCTACCACTTCTCCCCATCCACTAAGCTTGTTACCCTGTCAGAGAAAGCTATTTGATTGGTTTGACATGCTGTTACTTATCACCTTATTATCTTCTAGGTGTTTGCAAATTGATTGCTTAATTTTTTGTTCCATTATCTTTTTGGATACTGAAGTTAAGATGGCCTCTGCGTGTGTATAAGAGAGATTATGGTTACACTTTTCTCTGAGCAAAGCTTGTACTCCACCATGTCTTCCAGAGAAGTTTGCAGCTCCATCAAATGCACAAGCAGCCATCTGTTTGGTGTTCAATTTACAAGCATTTAACTCTAAGATGTGGGTTGTCACACATGCAGCTGATGTGTCTTCTATAACCTGAACTTCTAGAAATGTATCTACAGGCCTACCACTGACACTAAGATAATGTATACAATGACTTAATGCTTGATGCCAATTTGCACTGGTGCATTCGTCGGTCATGTATGCTAATTTTTTGAATGCGGTGAGACAGTTCTTCACTTTTTCAACTGCTGAATCTTTCACTTTTGCATTTCATGCTTCTAATCAGTCAGTTGAGTTTCTTGCAGAAAGATAGCGAGCACTTGCCAATCTTGTTCAGAAACAGTGTCCAACTTCAGGGTTAACAAGTGACAATGCACTTAACATTGGCCTCCAGTTTGTAGTGTGTGGTATCTCTTGCTTAAATAGAAAGTATGATGCCAACAGCTGTGTTTATTCACATAAACTGTGTTGTCTCTGCAGCATTCTTAACAGCCTCATTCAGTACTTCTAAAACTGGCTTTTACAATGACTGGGTTATAAGGCTTGCAGTCCAGAGGCTTGGTGTTTTGCAGCCTTTTCATGTAGTTTGTCAGCTTTGGCTTTGCTGATTGGTCTAGCAAACCAAGCTCCTCCAGTTTTATCAATTTTAGCAGTGGGAAGCTTTCCTTCTTTGTAATCTTTTTTGCAAGAGGTACACCAGTAGCCATCTTCTGTAACTTCAATAAATGGAAAAAGTTTGACCAAGAAACATCAGGAACTGCCTTTAGGTTGTGGAGACACTATTTTTTCAGTGTTTTGGGCTGTTGTAGATACACCACTTGAACCTTCAGATGACATGTTGGTATATTCTTTAGTTCTTGGTATGTTCTTCTTCTTGGTTGGGGGTGATGGGAGAGTTTGGGGGGAGGTGTACATTGTTCCTGGAGGGGAGGAGGGTGTAGGGAAATTGCTCTAGATAAAGGATGAATATCAATTCACTTACCTGTGCAATTTCTAAGATCAGGTTGGCCCCAGTATGATGTATAGTTGTACGGGTTTAAAAAACTATGGAGGAAAAAAATGACAGAATATGCATTTATGCAAAGCATGTCATATTATTCAGAATAATGTAGCAAAATAAAGATGGATGTTTCAGAATTCATTTGTAAATTTCACAGCATCATGTTACATTAAAATTACAGTCCTGGCAGCAACAAAACTACAATGAAAATTAACAAGATATGATCGATATTGGGAATTTGTGGTTGATTGTTGTATAAAACCAGTGACATCAACAATGGTGCAAAAAAGGTATGCTCCATGGGCCAGATCCTCAGCTGGTGTGAATTGCCATAGTTACATTGTCTCCAATGTAGCAGTGAGGATTTACACTAGTTGAGGATGTAGAGTTATATTTGAGGAGTGACCAAAACACCTATGTGGTACTACAGCATTCCTAAAAAGAAAAGGAGTACTTGTGGCACCTTAGAGACTAACCAATTTATTTGAGCATAAGCTTTCGTGAGCTACAGCTCACTTCATCGGATGCATAAAGTGGAAAGTACAGTGAGGAGATTTTATATATACACACAGACCATGAAAAAATATACATTGTAAGGAGAGTGATCACTTAAGATGAGCTGTTACCAGCAGGAGAGTGGGGTGGGGGGAGAGAAAACCTTTTGAAGTGATAATCAAGGTGGGCCATGTCCAGCACATTTCCAGGAGTTTTTAACTCCTGGAAATGTGCTGGAAATGGCCCACTTTGATTATCACTTCAAAACTCCTGGAAATGTGCTGGACATGGCCCACCTTGATTATCACTTCAAAACGTTTTCTCTCCCCCCACCCCACTCTCCTGCTGGTAACAGCTCATCTTAAGTGATCACTCTCCTTACAATGTATATTTTTTCATGGTCTGTGTGTATATATAAAATCTCCTCACTGTACTTTCCACTTTATGCATCCGATGAAGTGAGCTGTAGCTCACGAAAGCTTATGCTCAAATAAATTGGTTAGTCTCTAAGGTGCCACAAGTACTCCTTTTCTTTTTGCGAATACAGACTAACATGGCTGCTACTCTGAATATAGCATTCCTAATATGTCCTGACCACATGTTTTGAAAAGTAGTTACAATTTTCACATAAAGTGCCAAATCCTGCCATTATATTTTAACTTTAACTTAGTTAGGCTTTGAATCAACCCTATGTGAAAAGAGCAGTGGCTGTAGGAAGAGTGTGAACAGTTGCAAGAAAGCTGGACACAAACTTTCTGCCATCCTTGATCCTGTGCAAGGAAAGGTAGGCAGGTGTCTAGGATGTGATAAAGGGTATGTGACAAATCTGAGAAGTATCCCGGGGTTAAAGAATCACTGATAAGTAATCATTTAAAAATTCTGTTATTAAAACCTCACAGCAATAGATTATTTCCATGGATTATATTTCCAAACTATGGAAAAAACACACTAAGGCCCTGTAATAAAAGATGGTATCATAACACATACGCACAAGCGGGACAAATTAAGGCAACCTTAATTCTGGCATATCCTAACTATTGAGTGTTTTGACATAGCATATTTAATGCTTTTTAAATGTAGCTTTGGAAAATATAAATTGTAACCTGGCATTGTCCCTCTAACATTTTTTCTGTGACTGAGTATGTGAGTTCCATGCATCAGCAAGAACATGGCAGTAGGTTTCACTGATGTGCTAACCAGCACCTGGTTACCTTAGTACTGCCAAATCTGTGATGCATACTGTACAATGTTTGCAGGCCACGTCAGTCTTCTGTTGTTCTGGGGTTTGCTTAGGACCCAGTGTCACAGAGACATTACTAAATTTAACATTTTCCTCCATGCCTGGGACAGGTTAAACTACATAGGCTGTCTATTTGAGCCTTTTTTGAGGGGTGGGATCAAAACATCACTGAATTTCCGCTCCATTGCCATTTTCCACTTAATCATGCCCACCATTTTCACATCAGATGGCAGAATGCTTACACATTTTGGCTGTGCATTTCATCCTTTGTGAACCAAACACACACAAAATCTTTGGTATCTTTTTGTTTCTACAATGTAGCAGCTGAGCATGTAGTTGCCTGCTTCTTTTTGTTCCCAGTATTGGCAAGAGTTACTGGAGACGACTAGGCAAGAAAAGCCTACTACAAAGCAGAATACAAATTTTGGATTAGAAATATTTTATGCTGACAGTCAAAGTCATTGTGTAGTCCCCAATGAGTGTGCAATAGAGATAAGCAGTCCTGGGGCAGTAAAGGCCAGGAGCTTCAATGTGTAGTCACTCAGTGGCACACACATCAAAACAGTGTGACCCCTGCACTAGCTACTTTGCAACAAATGTTGTTCAATCAGAACCTAATGGTATTTGTACAAGATTAACAGGCTGAGGAAGTAAGTTAGTTAAACACAAACTCTGGTTGTTTTCCTGTCTGGCACAAAACCTTGAGCCTGATGTTCATGTTGCCATCTTGTTTCCAGAAAGTAAAAGAGCTGGATCAGCCTTCTCAGACCATGTCCCAGATACAATGTAGGCAGATAAGTCTTTTTATGGCTTTAAAAGAATTCATTCATTCATAATAGCCTTTATTATTGCTTATGGCTATCATATTAACTATAGTTACTATCATCATTGGTATCACCATCATGCCTAGATCAAAGCCTCATTGTGATAGGTACTGTACAAACACACAGGAAAGGACAGTCTGTGCTCTGAAGAATGTATAGTCTGAATAGAGAAGACAGACCAACATGTGGAGGAAAGGCAAGATTATTACCCCATTTTACAGGTGGGAAATTGAGGCATGGAGAGATTAAGTGCCTTGCTGAAGCTCACACAGGAAGTCTATTGCAGGAAGTCTATGGCAAGGTCAAATACTGAACCTATGTTTCCTGAGTCCCCAGTCGAAACCTTAAAACCTCCTGCCTAAAGCCTTAGCCACATCTTTACTCCCAGCTATTACGAACTACTGCCAAAATGCAAATTTCGGTGTTGTAGCTGTGTTGGTCCCAGGAAATGAGAAAGACAAGGTAGGTGAGGTAATATCTTTTATTGGACCAATTTCTGCTGGTGGAAGGGACTAGCTTTTGAGCTTTACAGAGTTCTTCCTCAGGCCTGGGGAAGATAACCAGAATGTCCAAATTAAATACAAGGTGGGACAGATTGCTAAGGGGTTCACACACACTGTAGGAGACCACTTAAAATGAAACAGGCAATTAATACCTATACTGTAGGACAATGGAGGATTAGCAGGCAGTTGGGTGTGTTATGAATTGTTGTAATGAGCCATAAAACCAGTGTCTCTGTTAAATCTATGGATTTTAGAGCACTTTTCAGAGTATTTAATGTGAGTCTGACTTTGCTTTAACTAGATGGGAGGTCTCAGAACCTACCAAATAAACTTCTTCAACCAGAATTCAGCTGAGAATACTGTTTGTGATGGACAAATCAGTTTAGAATCCAGTTTACTATTGGTTCTTCAGTACTAGCTGTAGTAAAAAATTATTTTTGACAGTTAAATAAGAAGAATGATTTGAAGATAAACAGGAGCAGATCTGTTAGGTAAGAAGATACAATTATAGTTATTTTTTGACCAGACAGTATTTGCAGGTCTCATTACACCTTGAAGAAGTGATGTCTATTTGTATCTTTTCCCGGTTATTACTAATCAAGGACATATCTCTACTCCAAAAACGTGTGCCTCTCTGTGCTGTTTTTGGGCCTGCATATGTCACAATATGAAAGTAACCTCACTTTAAAATAATGCTGATCAATTCATGGACTAAATCGGACACAATTTAAATGGAATACACACTAAATTGTGAATACTGAATATTGGTTTTGCCATTAGACAGCTAACAGCTTCTGACAGGTCTCCATGATTACTCACCATGTTCTTGATGCAATCTGGACTGAGCTCCCATGGCACAATGTAAAATTGGTTACAGTGGGCCTGGTATCTGGCCAGAAATAGTTTGGAGGGTTTTCTTCAGCTGTACATTTTTCTATAAAACAACAGTGTACATAAATGAGAACAAATCTTAACTTCTATCAAGTAAATTATAGCTTAATTTATCAGTCTCTCTTGCATCACATTTTATTAATCATTCTGTGGTTTACATGCAATCATTTTTTCTCCAGTGGGTGCTTGCAACATGTTTGTAATGGCTGGGTGCTGTACATTGTACACCTTTGTCCCGGAGATACCAGGCCAGATCATCAGCCGCTGTAAATTGACAGAAGCCTACAGAGCTATGCTGAGTTAGAAGTCGAGAACTTGGATGTCAGAATGGCAATTTGAAGCCCACAGACCAGTTGCTGAGAGTCCATTGATGGAATTGTCTGGTCATAATTTTAATCTCAATTAGAAGATACCAGATTTCAGTACAACTGGAAAGTCCATTGTTAGAGCCTTTAGTGTTCACTCAGGGGAAGGGGGCGGAAGGGACTTGTTTTGGGGCAAGCAAACAAAACCTGAAGAATGGCAAAGTTGAAACCTCTTTACCTACCTACTGGATCAACATCCACTGTATGGACCCTCAGTCCATCCCCTATGGTTTCATTATTGCTTATGAGTTTCTGCCGGATGGCTTGCTCTTCTAAACTGATGTTGTTGGTGGAGTTGTAAACCAGAAGAGCCCAAACCACCAATCTGCAAGGAAAATTATCCCAGTGTTTGAATCAGAACGAGATATAACAAAGGAATTGGGGTCTTGAAATTAAAATATCCAACCAGCTTAAATAAGGTTTATGATGAAGGTACCTGCCCATATTTTAATCTCTATATGTCATGAGAGAGACCGAGCAAACCATGTCTATCCCAATATGAAGGGAATAACTCAGAAAATATTGTTCCTTACCTGTAAATTATCCTTCTCTTACACACATAGCCCTCCAAACCTGGCACTGTTGGGAAATCCCACCAATAGCTACTATTATTGAGGCAATTCTCTAAAAGATTGAAGGTAAAAATATTAAACGCGCCTAAGGGTCAGATTTTGAAAGGTATTTAGGTACCTAAAGATGCAGATAGGTGCCTAGATGGATTTTCTAAAGCATCTAGATACTTTTGAAAACCCCACTTGGGAACTATCTGTATCTTTAAGTGCCTAAATACTTTTAAAAATCTGGTCCTTAGTGACTTAGGAACCAAAGTTCCATTGAAAGTCAACGAGATTTTGGCTACTAAGTCATTTAGGTACTTCGGAAAATGTTACCCTAACTAGGAAAGATTGGTTGCTTAGTCAAACAGAAACAAGTAGTTGTGGAACAGTAATAACTGTTTTGGACAGAAACCCATTGATCCTTTCTCGAGCACAAGGATCTTTGGTCCCTCTCCTGTGTGCGAATTAGAACTATAACCTCCCCTTGTCCAGACTCATGGACTTTCTGGATGCAGGATATCATTGCTGGCCATTCAGATGGAAGGGTGAGATGAAAAGAGAGGTCTCAGCCAGACTTTTTCCAAGACAGGAGAGAAGCCCAGGTCATAGGGACAAACAGCCACTGCTCAAAAACCTCACGAAGATATGTGCGTACCTGAAGGTATAGGAAAAATGCTTAGAGGAGAAACAAGAAGATGTGCAAGGGCTGTGCCAGGCTAGTACTAGGAAGGCATAACACTGAACCAGGTGCCAGGATCAATTATGGGCTCCTTGGAAGCTGATAGGAGAGATGCCAGTGTGCAAATAGGCACATATTTACTGTTTATATAAACAGAAATATTTATTCTCTGCTCTTGCACTAGTAAATATACAGTTTTTCTTTTATACTGCTGAGCAAATGTTTGAACCTGGCCACTAGTCTCCCATTTGCCTTGGGATGTGGGTGGCCCCAGTAGAGTTACAGCTGCAGAAGAATTACAGGTACCTCTAGACGGATCATCCCTGCTGTGCTATCACACTTACTGCGTTCATCCAAACATTCCATTGGCTTCAATGGAACATTAATTCACAGCTAAAAGAAAAGGGGGACTTGTGGCACCTTAGGGACTAACCAATTGATTTGAGCATGAGCTTTCGTGAGCTACAGCTCACTTCATCGGATGCATGCTGTGGAAACTGCAGCAGACGTTATATACACAGAGACCATGAAACAATACCTCCTCCCACCCCACTCTCCTGCTGGTAATAGCTTATCTAAAGTGATCATCAAGTTGGGCCATTTCCTGAGTTTGTGGGGGGGGGGGGTGGAGGGTGAGAGAACCTGGATTTGTGCTGGAAATGGCCCAACTTGATGATCACTTTAGATAAGCTGTTACCAGCAGGAGAGTGGGGTGGGAGGAGGTATTGTTTCATGGTCTCTGTGTATATAATGTCTTCTGCAGTTTCCACAGCATGCATCCGACGAAGTGAGCTGTAGCTCACAAAAGCTCATGCTCAAATAAATTGGTTAGTCTCTAAGGTGCCACAAGTCCCCCTTTTCTTTTTGCGAATACAGACTAACACGGCTGTTACTCTGAAACCTGTCATTATGTAATTCACAGCTATAACCTCAACAGGCTGTGCATTAGCAGGCTATTAATACATACTTAGGGTGCACTGTGAGGCACAAGGCTAACAGTGGAAAAGGGGTTATTATGGCATTTATTTCAGAGGAAGAGTGAGAACTTCCTAGGAGCATGTCAGTTTCAGCCCCCTGCCCCCTCCCGCACTGCTCCTCCCCAAGAGGCTCCAGCCACTAAACCATCTTTCCCAAAAGGTTCTGGCCTCCATCATCTATTTCACCTATTTCTACTTCAAGAGAGAAAAACTTAATAAGTTGCTGCCACTCCCAGTTTCAGCAAAAGGGACGTCATAGACAAAGGGCCACTACTCTCACATTGTTTATATCCTGTTCTACCAGCTAATCAGAATGTGACTTTGGACATTCAGCAACCAAAGCCATGCTCTAATGGCAACAGAACAGCAGGAGTAATGATAGATCAGGTATAAATGTGTTAGTTATCCTGACTATTTACAAGGAGGAAAAATTGATTATGAAGCACTAAAGAACTAAAGAACATCTGTTATAACTATTCTGCTTATCTGGCTTTTGGTAACTCTTACAGGATATACTGTACATATTGTGTAACATGGAACTCCTTTATATTTTGACATACATTACAAATATTATTAAGCTGTACAAAATGACTCATGTTAACAACCTGTAATAGATAATAATCACTTTAACTTGATAATTAACAGAGTTCTGAGCTGATCATTTCCCTCCATTTTTGTAGCAGTCAGATCCCAGACAAAGAACATTTTGATGTTGAAATACAAAATTTAGTTTGAATTTGTGAAATAGTAGGCCAATTTTCATGTAAATGTCAATGATGAAACACTGCTTCAGTGATGTAATGATGGGTGAGCCCAACGTTAAAACACACATTCATCCTTCACAATGTATCTTGAAGGTAGTAATACTCTAGCAAATGGATGTTTATATGAAACTCCATTCAAAAATCATAATGACAAATTCTATCACACTGAAATCACTGTGTACCGAAGAATAGATTGTGGTCATCTGGCATAAATGTGCAAGATGGGGAAAGATGAAGCTAGCACTAGCTGTGAGAAACCCATGGAAGACCTGCTGCCTTCTTCACAAGTCTGCTGAGCGGAGCTGACATGGAAGGAGGAGGATAGCACATGTTGCACCCTGAGTCAGGATATAACAGAGGTGCAAATGTGCTTCCATCACTGCTACCCAGAGTGATGAGCTTCCCTTAGGCATGACTCTTGGAGCTGCCACCAAGGAGGCCATGCCCTAAAAGCCACAATATAGCCCCAAAGGAATGCACTATATACGGTAAAGTAGATCACACTGAAATATAAATAATCAATTATTATTACAGCAGACTTTTCTTTTTTCTCTTATTCCTTGTATAATGTTAATTGGCTGAACTAATTGTGTATTTAATATGTCCCTTTTCAGAATGCAACTGTAGTCTCTCAGCTACCAAGTCATTATTAATTAGTTTTGTTATCATTGTAAACTTATTCAGGGGCTAGGAATCCAATTTTTTTTTAAAATACATAGAGTAAAATTTTCAAGAGCACCTAAATGTCTTAGGATATTAACACCCATTGAAATTCATTGGGACTTAGGCTCGTAAATCACAAGGCACTTTTGGAAATTTGACTTAAGTCTGCTATTTCAGCTTCACTCTACACATCTTACTTTGTTATGCAGTTTTTGAAGATGAGCAGAAAAGTTTTAAAGATGTCTGTAAATTAGTAGCAAGTTTAAACATACACTGGGATACATGCGGTAAGGTCTGCAGCATAGATCGGTGCACGACTTGGAAAGAATAATTTGAACTACTTGTTGCTGAATTCTAAATTAAATGCAACTATTCAAGAAAAAAGAGCCAGCCATGACTGTGAACTATTCAATGAAAACATCTGGTCAATGAACAGTGGTGATCCACACAGCAGGCAAAATGTTCAAATGTATAAGGAACAGAATTAATACTGAACATCTGATAATCCCATCATATATATCAATGGGAGGGCCTTTCCTGGAATAATTTGTTTAGTTCTGGTCACCCTACCTATAAAAAGATATAGCAGAATAGAGGGAGTTTGGAGATGACCAACAAAATTATTTGCGCCATGGAGAGACTTCTAAATGAGGTAATATTGATCAGACTGGGAATGTTTAGGTTAGAGAGCAGACAAATACGAGGATACATGATAGACGTATACACAGTAATCTGTGGTATAGAAAAGGTAAGTCAGGAGCTCCTAGTTACCCTCTCATAATACAAGAAGAAGTGGGTATTTTAGAAGGGACATAAATCCTCACGTTTCAGGATATAAATTAACCACAAATGGACATGGATTAGGAAGAAACTTCCTCTATGGATAAATTATTCCATAATTTTTCACCTCAGGGTTTCTTACACCTTCCTCTGAAGCATCTGGCACTAGCTTTTTTCAGAGACAGTGTACTGGACTAGATGGCCCACTGCTCTGATCCAATATGACAATTCCTATATGCCCATGTGTCTTTGTTTGGGTTACATTCCTCCCCATTGAATTGGGGTGGCAAGACAAATAGTTGATCATAATGAATTTGCTTCATAACATAACATTTGTTTTGCATTGGTGTTCAGTCTTATATAGGTGCTTACTATTAATATAATATGGTATGTCATGATGAAGTGTAAAACGTAAAATCTACTACAAATTAGAAGGGGAATGCTATAGTAAAGGGAAAAAAAGTGTTAAAAGCCATGTTGTGTCAACAGTGACCAACAGCTGATGCCAGTTTATATGAAATGAATTTGTTACATTATCATTAAATTGTCAACATAACAAAATAACCCAGTACAACTAGTGCCCTAATAACTTCAGGCCTCACCCAACTCCCACTGAAGTCAATGGAAAGGCTCACCGGAAGACAATGGGAGCTGGATCAAAGCTCCTTATTGGCAGTTGCATCAGACAGGCCAACGATTGAATGAGCACGCAGACTGAATAACCCATTTGCTTACAGAGATTTTCCCTACAGGGTCATGGCTAAAATATACTAGTTGGGCTTTGTGGAGAACCTTGTACCTTTTCCATTGATCCCGAGAGGACTTCAGTCTCAAGGACTCAGAATTTGACACCTTTCACAAGCAAAAATATTTACAAAGAAATAAAACACTTTAAAAAAGCAAAT